CCGGGCTGCCCCAGCCGGCCCCGCCGGCCGCCCCCCGCCCGCGCCCCTGTGCTCACCGACTTTAAGGCAGAGAGAAAACGCCCGAGCGGCCCGGAGCGCAGACGGGCGAGAGCGGCGGCGAGGAGCGGCGGCAGCGGAGAGAGAGAGAGCTGTGCGAGCGGAACCGACGCCAGAGGAAGAGGGAAGGGCCGCGCTCCGCCCCGCCCCGCCGGAGAGCATGGAGGGAAAAAGGGCGGGGATCCGTCCGGGCTCCCGCCCTGCCCTGGCAGGCCGCCGGCCGCAAGGGGGGCCCCGCGGGGCTTGCGCGGCCGAGCCCGGTGCTGGAAGGGAGCGCGGCCGAGGAGAGCGCGGGCACATCAGGAGCGCCGGGGGAACACCGAGTCCTGCGGGGCACTGGTCATTAATGCCGGGTCTGCCGTGCTATTTGATCCTGGATTTGCTGTTGGCAGTTTTAATAATCGCCTCGTTCCTCCGATCCTGATGATAACATCATCATATAAACACTTGACGTATAGTAGTCTGTGCAGACAGGATTACCAGTTAAAAGGTGCTCACATCTGACACACAACAAAGTCTTTGAGTTCAGAAGCACAGGCCTTCTCTGCTGCCGTTAGCACAGGTTCTTCCACTAGCAATCATGATAACAGGTCTCATCCTACCTTCAGGCTGTGGGGCAGTCTGTGTCCATTAGCAAACAGCATAAACAAACCCAGTGTGTTAGTGAAGGGCCTGTAAGTACTTTCTAAAAAACATGCTGCCGAACTTGCCCAGCAGCACGTAACTGGAGACAAAAACAGCATGCTATGCTGGCATAGAATGGGAGATGCAACTCAGTTCTTTGCTCCCCAAAAGGCCAAACCACTAAACTAACCTAGAGATCACAAGTTTCCTTCTAGACCTCACACAGCAGCAAATCTCCACCAGGTGTAAAGGATAATGTTCCTGTGACTAAAGCTCTTGCAATGCCCAGTTTTCAGGTGTATAAGTGGAACACATCACTGTGCTTCAGGAGTGGAAAGTGGGGTCATTCTTATTGTCAGTAGGAGCCAGATTTCACCTCATACCATTTTTGTTACTATTGCTTCCTTGAAACAATATTGGTTATAGATCCCAGAGTCACAAAATAGCGGGACAGCCTTACAAGTTTGCTTTTATTCAAGAAACATTTTTACAGGTTCCAGTTAACAGCCCAATGAAATCCCCAAAATACTACATTCAAAAATACCCTAAGGGAGTTTCAGAGGAAGGATTTTCACCTTAATATTTGCAAATATTTGCCCATTCATTCTAAACCCAAGACCCCGATTACTTTGGTACTCATTCTAAACTGAGAGGATTTGTCTGAATCACAATTAAGTAAAAAGCCAAGAAGATAAATCAGAAATTATTAAAATTGCATTTTACGGAAAGGAACAAAAAGACATAATAGTTCCTGCTGTCAGCTTCCTGAAGTCTTTGATATTACAGAACTGCAAAGTCTATTACCAGTTGAGCTTTTTCCATTAGCTGTAATTTCTCACTATTTACCAAGAGAAATGATCAGGAAAACTTCACCCACATAAGCTAGAAATTTCCTTATTACTTGCAATATTAATTTACATGTAAAGGAACAAAATCTTGTTGTATCTCTACAGATTTAAATTAAACATGACTTATTTGAGGGTGTGTGCAGGTTGCACTCTCTTCTATACTGAGTTAATTTAAGCCTCACCCTTAAAATAAATGAAAATAGTCTAAATTTCTGTCTATATAAATGAGGATCTGAACTAATGAAATACCTGTTAAGCACCTCCAGAGTTATTTCTTATGCTAGTGTTTCGGGTACACAATGATGTTGTTAAATGTGTTCTTACTGAAAAATTTACTGCTTTGAACTATCAAAGTCGAATATTGATTTGTATATATTACTATGTTGGCTTAGCTCAACCATTCCCTTTTCTCCCTCTCAAATACCTTTGCACTTGCTTTTCAGTCTCCTCTCCTCATGGGGAAATGAGCATACAGCTGCCACTGGATCACTTTAAAAGCTCCTTTCCGAAACAATCTCTGTCAGAGTGCCAGTTGTTTGGCACAGCTCAGTTAAACTGTGAGCTGACACACTATGATGAACTCCTGTTGTCATTGTTTCCCTCTCAACTCTGCTCCCCTCCACCTTTTCATCTACACATCTGCTATGCAGGCCTGCTGACGGCTGCAATGGGCAACCTCACCTGTGTTATGGTCACTCGAAGCTGGTACTGGGAACCTGTCCTGGTTTAAACCTTCCTACCTCCAGTACACCTCTCTTGCATCGTGCCCTCTCCTCACCTGCAGATGGAAGCATCAGCTATGTTCTGCTTCACCATTTTGCTGGAAAGAAGGAGCAAAACTGTGGGTAAGGAAGAGGAGAAGAGGAACAAGTGATGACGAGGCAGTGAGTGAATAGCAGTGATTATAGTCCAGCTCTAGGAGAGGTCAAAGTTGACAGTGGTTCAAAAAGATCTGGTGGTAAGGAGCAGGCTTGAGGTAGGCTGCCAGGAAGCAAAGAAGCTTTACTGGTGTATTACTGTGGTTACTGCAGTGGTAATAATATATCTGTGTCTAGAAATATTTGGTAGTATGTACTTTCAGAATATCTCTTTTACTGAAATATTGATACATTGCCCATCACTAATTTGTACATTGTCTAATTCCGATCTTTGGGATTTTTGTATGTTAGAAGAACAGAAAAAATAGATAACAACAGCTGTGACTCTCAAACTGGATGTAGAAGTGACAAAATGGTTCTATTTGTGATCTGCTCTTCACTGCAGATATTTTCAGAATCTCATGCAAATGCTTTGAAGTTCTTGAGTTAACTCCCCAACTATTCCAGTGTAGCACGAAACACATTAATGAGAGGTCTTTTACTTAGAGACTTACAATAGAACTGGTGATTATATCTTGTTCTGCAAAGATGGTGTGATATATATATATGTATGCATGTGTACATGTAAGTATTACAATTCTTTCTTGCATGAATGCTTTTGATCAGTAAGTGGCTGAAGGAATCACCTGGTTGGTTGATACTTAGGAAAGCAGTACTAAGCTATATCGATGGCCCATGGCTTATAGGTTCCAGGTTTGTCTTTTGGAATCTGAAATAAAATATAAAGAAAACAACATCATTTTGCTAAGGGGAAAAAAGAACTTACTGTAATTCACAAATGCATGTTCCTTATCAGCCATGTCAATGTCATTGCGTGCACAAAACTCCATTTTCCCATGTTATAAAAGGTTGTGAAATCAACCAACTTACTTCTAGTTAACAGTGGCATTCTGGTAATTGAACAGGTAATTAAGCTCATATCTCCATAGCAGAGGTGAGCTCACAGCCTGAAAGGCTCAAATTAGAGGAACTGACATACGAGGTTCCATTATGCAATATGGTTCAATGGCACTGCTTGAATCATGGAGGCCACGATGTCTGCAAAGAAATCCTACATTTCTGAGGGCATTCCTGGAGACAGAACATCAACTCCTGATGACTGGATAACAACTTCACCATTATTCAAATTCTGAGTTTTTCCCAAGTGTTTCCACAGCACTTAGCCCACAAAGGTTCTTAATCCTGGTTATAACTTCTATGAATATGAGAAGTTCTGTCTCTGTGAAACACTTTGCTGGATATCCTGCACAGGAGGAAGCAGAAGTGGATGGATGTGGAATTCACAGCCCCAACCTCCAGGGAGGTTGAGATCAGGGAGTCTCTAGCTGGCTGCCACTGGAAGAGGGGCCTGCAGGTCTGCCTGACCCAAACTGTGTCTCTCTTCATAGAGAAATTTTCAGTCTAGGGTACAATAGAGTTGTTCAAATTCAGCTACGTGAGGCTTTTTAAGTTTAAAGCTTTAATTAATGGACCTTGTCACAGTTTGATCGGATGTTTCCTATTTTCCAGGCTCCTGAAGTGTTTGTTTAGTTTGCTTTCTGACTGGATATGCACTGAGGGGAGAATGACTGGTAAACCTGTGCTGTTTATCTATTTCATAATTGCTCCTGTGCTTTACTACTTTGATTTTTTTATTCCCTTTTTTTCTCTTTTTCTCTTCAACTTATAAATAAACAGAAAATTGGGTAAGTGACAATCTATTATGCAATTTCAGATATCTGCTTTTACAGTGCCAAAAGGATGAGTGCATTGGAAAACCTGTGAAGTGGCTAAAGCTTTAGTCAGAAAACAATGTCATATTTCTCATCTTGCCCACCTTTCTGAGGAAACTCTTGTGTGATCACTGTTGGCTAGGGTAGATATGGGGAGGGAAGTTGGCTCCTGCCTCAGAGTCCTACAAAAATAAGTACTGTCCAGCAGTCTACTGCTCTGTCCTACTGCCAACCCCTTGTGAGGGAAATGCAAGATATAGGAAGATCAGATTGAGACATTACTGTGGAAAGAAAGACACAGAGAACTGCAAGGGTGAGGGTGCATTTTCTTACCATTCTCATTTTGAAGAAAGCAGAGGCACAGCACACAGGTGCTATAAAAATATTATATTTTTATATATTTTTATATTTTTATATTTTTTATATATTATATTTTTATATTTTTATAGCACACAGGCCATAAAAATAACTTCAGTGACTGTGGGGGAAATTTCAATAAAAGGGCATAGTGCACCAGTTGTGCATTACCTGTTCCATCTGTGAGAGGGAAGATATTAGAAGATAATAGAATGTCAAAAACAGCCAGAGCTGTATCGCACTTTAAGAGTGGGGAACTGTACTATTCTCAAACCTATACATTATACCTACAAAGTAATTACAGTGTCTGAGATAGACAGTTTAGCCCATTACAGTGAATATCTTAAATTTGCACCCCTAGATTCTGTGGATGCCTCTGTCAGTGGTGATGCTCACATGTAAACATAAATCTAAAATGTTTTATTTGGGAGTGCTCCTGTTCACCCAGCCTGTGTTTTCACTCCATGTTGTGACAAGACTTGGAGGCACATCAGCTCATATTTCCATCTACCTTGTTTTCCAGGAAGAAAAAAAGGAAACTGGGTTACATGATTCAAAGTGGAATCAGTCTAGACCAGGAGCAAAGGACAAGTGATGGAGCATGTCTACCACTCTGTGTTTAGACATAGTCGTAGTTTCTAATGCAAATAAAGTGACACTAAGACAAAGTCAAACTATAATCTGAAAAGGACTTTCAAGGCTTTTAGTTTAAAGGAGATAAATTGAAACATTACCACTGAGGAAACAGCACAGGTTCCTCAGTTCTGGACTGTCAGTTCATGTTACTCTGTCAACATGGCTGAACAAAGTGCCACTGATAAAATAAAGTGCAAAGCTCTGCTAAATGTTGAAGAAAAGAGATTTGGCTCACTGATTCATCTAGGTGTACAGCCCATTCAGATGAAGGAGAATTAAGGAGTTGGCCAGCTCAGGAAAGGAATGAAAATAACCTTACCATCTCAGTAAAGACATCACCACAGGCCATGCGAATCCGCTCAACAGTCAAGGGGCTGTTCAGTGTGAAGTCCAGGGACAATCCTCTTTCTTTCCGTGTAGCAGCCACTGCATCTTGTATTGCAAAGAACACTGAGCTGCCCAAGAATAATCCAGCCTCACCCATGCCCTGGTAGAGGAGAGAGGCAGCTGGAGAGACTGGCTTTAAAAACTGCCAGCAGAGAGTTAAATCAGCACATTTCTGCTGTATTTATCTGAAATATACTGAATCACAGCAGGTCAGTATTTGGTCATGTCCAGCATATTTGGATTCAACAATTTTCCTTGGATCTCTGAGAACTTTTAAATCAGAAAACCATCAAGGACCAGAATTTGGCTGGTGGAGATAATTTTAAAATTCACAATAAAGCTATAAAAAACCAGTATAAAAAAACCTTCCTGCTGGGACTTCAGTGCTGGTGTTAAAAAGCTATGAAATAATTCATGACTTCTCACAAAGACTAGCTTTTCTATATCCAAGTGGAATTATTTCTTCATGATGAAACAGAGGAAGAAAGACTGCCCGCCCCCGCTCTCCTCTTAGCCCCTCTTGCATGGTTAAAGTTTGTGCTGTCTAATTTTGATAAGAATTATGCCCTTAGTCTCTGTCTGTTTTCTTCATGGGGAAGAGTTTTTTTACTCATTTATACCATGTAAGGCCATAAGAATATGAAACAGACTTCTGGAAATTTCCTTTGTGTACTGGTTTTGGCTGGGGTAGAGCTAACTTTCCTCACAGTAGCCAGTAGGAGGCTGTGTTTTGGATTTGTGCTGAAAACAGTGCTGATAACACAGGGATGTTTAGTTACTGCTGAGCAGGGCTTACACTGAGTCAAGGTCTTTGCTGCCTCTCACTGCACCCCACAGGCAAAGAGGCTGAGGGGCACAAGAAACTGGGAGGGGACACAGCCAGGACAGCTGTCTCAAACTGACCAAAGTCTTGGAATATGGTATGGAATATACCATATGGCATCAGCGTAGGTGAGGGAAGAAGAAGGGGGGGAGACATTCAAAGTTCTAGTGTTTGTCTTCCCAAGTCACCATTACAGGTGATGAAGCCCAGCTTTCCTGGCGATTAATGTCTTCCTGCTGATGGAAACAGTGAATGAATTCCATTTCTTATCTCACTTTGCTTGTGTGTGCAGCTTTTGCTTTATCTTTTAAACTATCTTTATCTCAAGCCATGAGTTTTCTCACTTTTACCCTTCTGATTCTCTCCCCATCCCATGGGGGGCAAATGAGTGAACAGCTAGCTCTGTGTGGCTTAGCTCTCTGCTGGGGTTAAACCATGGCACTTTGTTATATCTGCCCTAGATTGATGGCTGGACTTGTGGGCATTCCTATCTTTTAGTATCCCGAGGTCTACACCTACCTTTAGTTCTCCTTTTATTCTGAGGTGCCTTTTTTTTTGCTTTTATTTTGAGTCTATGAACAGTGCACCGTCCTAGTACTGTGTGTCTCCTGAGAGGCTGAAGTACCCTTAGGACAGAAAGAATGATGCTTTGCCATGGCTGATAGAAAAACTGGGCTCTGTTCCCACACCTACCACAGGTTTCCTGTGAGATTCTAGAAAGTTACTTAATCTCTTGTCTCATCACTTCTCTGCCTTTAAAAATTACAACAATATTTCCTTTTTCTGTCCATACTCCTCTTTAGGCAATTAAAGCTCTTCAAGATGGACTTTTTCACTTTTGATTTATAGCACAACAGTTTTGTGTTCTTTTACATAAAAGTTTCAATTTTGATTAGGGTTTCTAAGTGCTACTGTAATACCAATAAATCATAGGAAGAAAATTAGTCCAAAAATTGAGAACACCATTGTTCACCATTTAAGTCCAATTTCCTCCAGAGCTGAAACTGCCCCCCCCCCAAAAAAAAAAATAAATGCAAAGCATACCATACACTACAGTCATGGATTTGCAGCAGAATCTCCTGCTGTGCTTGCAAACAGTAAGTTTGGCATGTTTACCTTGGAAGAATAGATGGCAATTGAGTTGCGTGAATTGGGCAGTAAATAGACACGGAACTGCTCAGGAACGTCACAGACAGCAGGGATCTTATATGTGTCTGGGCCAAGAGTGAGCTGCTCTCCTTGTGGAGAAAAGTAGATTTCTTCTAATGTATAAAGACCAACCCCCTGAATAAAGGCCCCTTCAATCTGAACAAATTAAAAAAAAGGTAAATTTTACATTTCATTCAATTATTTTAAAAGGTAAAAACAGATATAAAATCAGACTTAATTAATAAGATTACACATGAACTGGCATCTTTCTTTCTATTAGTCAACAAAGACCCAAACAGGACAAAGCTGTCCTCATCTGACTTTGACAAATATTTTCACTGGCTCAAGTTCTATTCTTCCTTATTCCTGGCTAATCTCACTGTAACTAGTACAGTTTTGATTTGATTTTGCAAAATTGCCAAATAGAATTGAGTCAAATCCACAGCAACCGCAGTCAGGAGATATTTGTCTAGGGACGATGAAATATATAGTCTGCTCAATTTAATAGTTGCTTTAAAAGATTTGCGGAAAACCAATAAAATTTCTTTGAGATAAGTGTATCAGACATAAACAGGTGATAGTTTGGATATGAAGAGAAAATAACAGACCAACATCATGTAGGAAGGAACAACTGCTGAGTAGACACTAGGACTGTGTCAGTAGTTGATGTAAACACTGGTGCAAAGTGAACATAAAATTAAAATGCTAAAAAAGAACTTAATATGACAGATTTGGCAGTCCATGAATGTGCAAAATGAACATAAGATTTTAGGTGAAGGGCAAATATATGAGGATGAGTGTTGAATAGGATAAATAGCAGGATAAGAAAGGCTTTAAATGTAGGTCACATTTTTAGAAGCATTTCCTCTGACTCTGCAAAGAAACAACAAATATTGTTTACAGTCTGAGTTCACCACTACTTTCTCATTTACAAACTACTAGTGAGTGACACCACTTTTGTCACTATTCAGTGTTTTTGTAGAAACATGTACTTGAATCCATAATACACAGCAATGGATACAACAGACCTTTAAAGAAAGGTCTGATCCATCTCAACAGCCTTTTCCATTACATCACAGCTGAAGTCAACACTGCTCTGCAGCTGGTTAAGATTTAGCCCTCAGTCAGTAATTCTGGGGTGGAGTAAATTGCTCAGGAAGAAAGTCATAAGGAGATTTAGGGTGCTAATCCTGTAGGACATTTCCCAAATCTGTTGGACCTGTTTTTCTCATCACTTCTCAGAGGAGGAATAATAAGTAAAAAAGGTAACTTAGTATTATTTATAGCTGTGAATAAAAACAAATCCATCTGTCAATCTAACATCCTCGAATGTTAATGGGCAGTGTCTCATAGGCTTTGGTAGTTATTAAATTGACCAATAACAACAATCATGTAGGCACAAATAGAAATTTCAGTAACATTTGATATACAGCAAAACTATGGAAATTCATACCTGTCCTATATCTATAGCTGGATTTATGCTAAAACAGGCATCCATGACAATGTCTGTTCTGATATTCTGTTAAATAAATAAAAGATGTTACACAGTTATAGTTAAAATACACAACAAAGGGATCCTAAATAATCTACAGTCTCATCCCTGAAAAATGTGTTATCAGAAATATTACAAATTTATTCTGAAACATGAAAGCTACTTGAGACAGGCTGCATAGATGGAGATTTCATTTAGATAAACAATTTTTGGTGGTTCTCTGACACTTGGAATGTGATGCACACATCACACATCCTGTAAGTAACAGGATGTTGCTTGTTCTCCTATAGAAACTACATTGCTTGAAGTGATGTCCAGCCATCTCCTGTGCTTTGCTGTGAGTGTGGAAGCACAGTCACTTGAACAGAAGCTCCTTATGTAGAGAAGGGGACAGAGAAGAACGTCTCATGGGCTGTTATTATACAATGTCCAGTGGCTTCTCTTAAATCCCAGTATGGTGTACAGTTTGAGGAGGTTCACAGACTCCAGTGATTTTGGAGTCTATCTCCACATGGGCTACTGGATATCTGGCAGCCTCTGCAGCCAAATATGCTTCTGCAGTAACCAGAAGACATTGAATTGGTCTCCATATAGTGCTGCTGAGAGCTCTCCCTGCACTAACTCTCCTTTGCAACAGGTCATGTTATGTGACTGTGGCTTCACCTGTTTTAAAAGTAACTGTTAAAAAGGAGACTGTAACTAATGATATGGTCTAACCTGCAGGGAGATGTTCAGAAGGTCTAATTGAATTTTAAAGTCATCACATGTGGTACAAACGTTAGAACTTCTTTATTTTCCGCTGTTATCACAATGTTTCTTATTTTTCTGGTTAACATCAGGCTTCTATTGCAAGAAAAGGATGACCAAATGATATTGTAAAGGGCACTATAGCCATTTATTGTTCTGCTGGCTATGTCTCTATTCTTATTTAAAGAAATGCAAGAGAAAAAAATGTCATAGGAACGTAACGACAGTGGAAAGTTCACCCAACTCTACTTCAAGTTCACTGTGTTTTTTGACATTACCTTGTGGGCTCCTGTCAAACAGTCAATTTCTACTTCAGAACATGCAACTCCAAAGAGAAAATACGGGAACGCATGGCCTTTCTGTGTGTCCCAGTTCATGTTTGTATGATAACCTCTGGAGGAAGTAAGAACATTATATGGATTTGATCAAGATACCTCCCACTCCCTATCCTTGTCCTCACTGTTGAGATCACTAAAAGAATCATATATCATGATATATGAGTTAATAGCTTTAAACTGAAGGAGAGTAGGTTTAGGCTAAATATTAGGAAGATATTCTCTGCTGTGAGGGTGGTGAGGCACTGGAGCAGCTTGCCCAGAGAAGTGATCAAGGCCAGGTTGGATGGAGCTCAGAGCAACCTGGACTAGTGGAAAGTGTCCCTGCCCATGGCAGGGGGTTGGAACTATATGATCTTTAAGGTCCCTTCCAACCTAAACCATTCTATGGTTCTCTGGTAACATAAACTCTTTAAGGTAACTATTTTCATGGGATCCCTGTAGTCAAAGATAATCTGGAGTGTATAATCTGATAAAGTGTATAAAGATAATCTGATACGTTGTGTGGAATAATTTGGGCACATAGGAGGGTTGCAAATCATGATGGCTGTGGAACATAATTCCTTGTGGGCTTTCTGTGTCTTACTGTAATTGACCTTGGAGAAGACTTTGAGCATTGTCAAACTAGCTAACCAAGGATATAAAGTGCTTCCAAAATCCATATGGGTTGAAGAGAAGAATTCCTTGTTAAATGCTGCAGTTTCTGGTCAAGGCAACTTGTTAATGGTTTGTGTGCTGCATCTGATATGACCTTAAGAAAGGTGAATGGGGCCAGTTTTATCCTTTCTGCTACCTATTGACAAAGTAGCACCTCCAATGATGAGAAATTTAAAAAAGATTAATGTCTTTCCTTACTTGAAATAGCCAGTAGCTGAAAGATTGATGCTTTGCTTGTGAGCTTCACTGATCTGCAAAAAATATACTCATTATTAAAGAGAGAAAATTAAAAATTCTTTAACTCACATTTAAAGAAAAAGTGAAACTTAAAAAAAAAAATTAAAGAAAAAAAGAGCCCTGAGTAAAAGCTTTATATTCCCTTGTGCCCTGGACATGTCTTTAGGAAGCAGGGGGCATTACAAAACCACTAAAGTTGGCCAAATTCACCAGAACATTGTGTTGTACCACTTGCTTTTACACTATTTTACACCTATTTACTCTTTCTCACTTCCAGTTTAGTTTATGCAGGGAGACACCTTTCTCCCTCCAGAACAATGTCAGCTTTCACTCTACACTTAAGGGTTTATCATAATTTAACACTACAAAACAGAGAGAGATATTTACCCAGTCTTCCCATTTGCCATCAGGATTGTCTCTTCGAATAGGCTCCAGGCGCTTCCAAAGGATTTGACAGGCATTCTAGGGAGAAGGAAGGTTGGATGCCAGTGACTAACCCACAACCCCAAATTTATCTGCTGATTTCAAAGCAATACAAGCTCTTTCTTGGTGAAATTAGTTTGTTAAATTCATTCTGAGGGCTGTAATTCTGTTCATTTATGTACAGTTTCTTTACTCTGCTATCTGCCAGCTAGAAGGCAGCACTTTGTGAAGACTGGCATTAGCAACTGCTCTAATGTAACTGAAGTATTCGTGTATCAGGCTACTGCTGAAACCATCAACAAAAGGAAGATAAAGGACTTGACTCTCTTCCTATTTTGATACACTAGATGGAAAAACCAGTGGCTGGAATGATTCATTTTACAAAATAAATGAAAGTGGAATTGGTCCCAAAGCATTTAAAAGGTTAAGGGTCTGACTATTAAAAACAGTACCTGAAATATAACTTATGCTAAATTTTCCTTTAAATTGTGTTTAAATACAAAATAAAGTGAAGATCCATAAATTCATCTAGCAGCAATCTAAAAAAGAACAGCATTCACATCTGTAAATCTGATACAGTAGAGCAGAGAAAAGTGACTCTTTTTAACAGTGTTCTGTAATTTGCCTCGCTTTAAACTATGCATATAAAGTAAACTAACAAGTGGAATTTCGAGATAAAGAACTGCAAGCTGCCCAAAATCAAACCAAACAAATAAATATGAATCCTCAGAGGGACATTTAGTATTCAACAGAATCACTAATTATATGAAAAAATGGTAACAAGTCTAACCTGCACTGCTCTTGCATTGATTTCAGTTCCAACTGATCCTGCTGTGTATTTGCCATTAGGTACAGTTGTTGTGCTTGTTTCACAGAAGTGGATATATGACAGTGGTATCTTCAGTTCACGACTGGCAATCTGTAATAAGAGTAAACAAAAAGCCACCCAGTCTCAATTGAGATGCAGTCAAGAATTCATCGTGCCATTCATCTCCCTATATATTTGCACATACAGAAAAATTACCTAATTAAAGGACAGATGCTTGTTTTCCTTAACAATTATTCTGTAAAGCAAATATTTTATATATAAGTTCTATATAAATAATAGAAGGTAAACCAATACAATGCAATACTGTATGTTTTGCCTCTAATTGCTTTCTCTAATAAGGTTTTTGTTACAAATGGAAAACTTAATCAAATTTAAAAAACAATGAATCATTCTCCCTTATCTGTATAATCTTATTTTCTTTCTCATTTGAAATGGCTTTGTTTGTGTTCCCACCTTATCGTTTTTCACCGTGTTCTAATATTCCAGTGTTCACGCAGCCCATTTTGAAGAAGTGGCTTTATTTTAGCTCCAAAATGACATAGTTTTGTTTGTCACTATTTACACACGAAATGCATAAAAGTTAAGTGGTGTTATCATTGATGTTGGATACACAACAAAGTTACATTTTCAGCATTTTTAACCCTCTCTGCTACAAAACATTGGGGTCATTTTTGCATGTGCCTTCTGTGCCCTAGCTATCCTGATAACAGTGATGTTACCACAAAGATGTTTTTTCCTTTCTAGGTCTTGAAAGGTCACTTTGATTATTGCTTGTGGTTTTTTTCTGACGCTTTGTCTTCGTCAATAACTCATAAGCAACAACTCAACATTAAACTCATCTTTCTTATGTCTATAGATTTTACTTATTACAGTTCTTACTGCCATTCATCCTTTTTGCTCAGTTATCCTCCTTAGGTTTTGTTTACCCTCAGGTACTAACTAACTCACCTGTAACATCTTAGTGTGAATTCCTTGTCCCAGTTCAATTCCACCATGAGTGACTAGCACAGACCCATCTATATAGATGTGGACAAGAGCTCCAGCCTAAAGAAGAGCCACAGAAACTTGGTGATTTTCTTACTTCACTGAACAAAGGTGTATAAAAAACCCTAACAAGCCAAAGACAGATTTAATTTACAAGATCAGTATATTATTAACCTGGAGTGGGAATTCTCCAGCAGTCTGACAATAACAAATTTCACTGTTTTAAGACATGACAGACTTTAAATGAGCTAGTAGTTATTCAAAGGAGTTCTGCAGGGATCACAGTAATTAGTTCTAATAACAGAAAACCACATTTTTCTTCTTGTGAAACTGGGTAAAGCAAGAACGTGCTGGCTCTCGTTATAATGTGTATGTGTCCCCAGCTATTATTCCCTCTTCATCTGGGATGAAAAAGGAGGACAGAGCAGAATTTGAACCTGGAATCAAAGGCATTTTCAACAGAGGGTAAGGTATCTCCTACTAGGAACAGCTTTAGAACTTTTCTTTTAGAACAAACAGTAGTTGACTTGTACTTTTGTTTTTCTGAAACAGAGGGATTTGCATGTGTCCAGAGGGGGATAATAATAAACTAGTTCCTAGTATCTAATTTTGATGGAGCAATGACACAACTGCTCTTCCCTTCTCTTTGCTAGGCTGTCAAGAGAAAGGCTTAGAACCAACTCACTTGTATTTTGGTGCAGCCTTCTCCCAATAAGTAGCTATCTTAAACAGGAGAAATGCAAGATGCAGGTTGGAATGGAAGTAATGAGCTTTAATTAATGGTAAAATTGGGAATAAATAACTTTCCAAGGAATGGTGATGAAAGAAATCGATCCCATGGAAGACATCCACTCCTATAAAGGAATAAGTGGACATGAAAGAGGACTCGAAATTCTGTAAAGAGACGCTTCAGTGTGGCATTCAACCAGCTACCAACACTCAGAGCAAATGGTAGAGCCTGAGAGGTGTTGTGAAATACAGTGCCTTGGGGACACCTTTGTATTTGTTACCAATTCTCCACTGACAAATGATGGTCATGTGATCTCTTTGGTGTCGGCTTGTGGTGTTTGCAAACAGATGACATTTTGCTGCTGTCAGTTAGAGTCTGAGCTGACAGGGGCAAGATTAAACAATAAATCTCTAAGATTTAAATCCAGATATTTGGAAATTCAGTGCAATGCCTGAGCTTTATTTTGAAGGTTTTGGGGGAATATAACTATTATTTATGCTTTTTTTAACCTTTTGTGTCAGACGAATTATGTTCCCTAGATTCAATGTTTCTTTACCACGAGAACATTGTTGGATGAAATATACTGATCTCTCCCTGAGCTCTTCATCTACAAACTTGTGTAGAAACAATCAAGGGATGGAATAAACTACTAACTTATAGGCTATGTGGATTTCCTTTTTTCTGCACTCATAAACAAAGAACAGTGTTTGTTCATTTAGTCTGAGACTCATTTGAGAGAATTTTTTATTCAAGACCTGCATTAAAAAGAAAAAAACAGTCAGAACTGAAAAGTTTCCCCAGAAATACCACTATCTTGACCCATAAAAATTTCCAGTAGCAGAGCTTAACCTATAAAATAAATGGTACTATCAGAACTATAGGAGTGATAATTTTTCTTACTATGGACTAGGTTATGGAAGATTCCAGGTACCACATTTTTATAGTGAGTTACTTAACTTTATGCTGGATAAAATTGTCACATTGGGAATCAGAAATTCACATTTCTGTGAGGTGAATATTCATAGAATCATAGAATTGCTTGGGTTAGAAGGGACCTTAAACCCAAGGGAAGATCATCTAGTTCAGCCAAGGGAAGATCATTTAGTCCAACCCCCTCTAACATGGTCAGGGACATACTTTACTAGAGCAGGTCTCTCAAAGCCCCATCTCATTTATAAAGCATTTATAAACACATAGCCCAGATAGAGCAATACTCTTCCTCAAAGTATGTCTCAAGGGAGTGATATTTTATGCTAGTCCAGCATATTGGAATTCTTTTCCCTTTCTCTTTCCTTTCTGCCTGTAGAGATTATATTTCCTCTATATTTGGAGAGAAAAGCAGAGATCTTAGATCACAAAAGCACTGTGTTGAAAGAGTTACCTGATGAAAATAAGTTGCATTAAATCCAACAGAAAACTTCATTGGAATGATGGCAATCCCTTTCTTTTTCCAATAATTTTTAGTGTTAAATTCTTCCACCATTGCTTTTCGACTGTAGTAGTCAGATTTGTCCAGACATTCTTCCCAACACTTCCACAGATTCTCTGCATCAAACTTTTCTTTGAAGGATGTTAGGTTAACTCCTTTGTACATGTTTATTTCCCTAACCTAAACACCAAGCAAATTCAGTGCTGAAAGTAAATGTTGCTTTATAATACATTGGCATATTATATACAATATAATGACATGGCATATAATGATACAATAATATAATTAATACTTATCTATATTAAACATAATGTCCTATTCATCACTGCTCAAATGGCCTGATTTTTTTGCTCACATCAAATGCCTGTGAACTTTAGTTGTGTCAGTGGGATTATTTACAAGGACTACTCAATGCAGAGAAGGTTGGTAAACTCAAATTTTAAATAAGACCAGTGAAAGCAGAAGTTAAAGCTAAAAAGCCTGTTTGTCCCTTGGAGATGTGTCTGAAAGCTTTCCTGAAATGTGGTAAAGGACAGCAAGTAAATGGGAGAGGGAGAAGATTCAAAGAAATAGCGAAAAGACATGATGGTTGTCATCCTAGGAAAGTAAAATGATTTATAAACCATAGTTTGAAAATACAAGAGGTTGGCACATCTAAAAGAGGAAAAGCTCACACTGGGTTAAGCAGTATGTAAGGAAAGGATAGCTCTTGAAGACTGGAGAGGAAATGGCAACAATAAAAACTGTTGGGACACTCTCTCTGAAGGCTGGGGAGACAGGGATGACAGAGCCACCTAGTTAAACTGCTGATAGATAGATAGATAGATAGATAGCAAAGTTGGTGATTTCAGTTCTGAGAGGCTGAGACAAGGGGACAGCTGAACATACACCAGGTGATCTAAAACTGGTCACACAGTACAAGAGATAATACTATTTTGACTGAAGTTGGTAATACTAACAGCAGTCACCAAACATTTTGGAGCAGATCTTGGGCCAGTTTTCTCCACTCTTATCTGTATTATATCAAGTATTATTCCATGAAAGCATAGGAGCTGAATGAAGTACCATTCAGTCCAACTAAAGCTGGTACATCTGTTTCTACAAAAAGTGGCTTAAGCACAAGGAGCTTAAGTCTAAGTCTTAGAATTGTCTGTTAACTCCTGTTTTATTTGGCAGTCTCAGCTCTTTTACCTTCTCATGTGGTAGGCCAGTTTGGGTCGCCACAGCCACAATACAGGTCTCCATAAGCAGACCTGCTTGGGGAAACCCAAATCCTCGGAAGGCAGTATTAGAAGGCAGGTGAGTCTTGCAGGCATGTCCCCTGACTCGGAGGTTGGGGATATTGTATGCATTGTCCACTTTCAACACAATGTACTCAATCACCTGAAACAAGAGATGACATTATTCAAATGGTTCCATTCCCTTTATAGAGACAGTGAAATTTGTGAAAGACCAATAAAATGTAACTGTTTTAACTTTACTCAGGAGGCTTGTTGTTCTGCTGGTTTTTATACCAACAGAAGTAAAGAAACCATGTCTAAATCAGAGAAACTGCATTTAACTCATAGGAATTTCAAGAGCATAAAGAAGCATTACTAAGGGAAAAATCAGACCTTCAGTTTTGAGGAAGTGAAGGAATGAGTTTATGATAGTAGGCTAGCTAATAAAACTTAGTGTCTCTTTGCTTCACAGAACTTTTAATTCTGAATTTTCTATGTCCAGAATAAGCTGGTAGGAAATATCTTACCTCCTTAAAGATACTCTGTAGTTGACATCTGGGCCACAGATGCATTTTTGCTTTAGGTAGATGAGAGTTTTACTTAACAAGAACAGGAATATTCTTAGGAGAAATAAACTGTGACAAAGGGCTGTTATTTTCATTTTGTGACCAGTTCAGTCTGTGTAATTGGTATCAGCAAAGAAGGACTTACCAATTCAGATTCATCTTTTGTGCAGCCACCATTTATATAGCACTGAAAATCTGCAGCTATTATTCTACCATCATTCATGAATCCAACCTGTAATATAGAAACTGATGCATTATTGGTCTTTTCTCTCATGTATTTCAAACTTTCCTTTATAACTTTCTTAACCAGTAAAGAAATAGCACACCTGAGGTTCACACTACAGAACACAATAGGACTGTTTCCACTGAATTGGAAAAAGTACCTGCATAGATTTCTGTCTATAGGATGGTATTTGTTTGGATCTGAATACACAAACCAAAGAGCAAAATACATACAAACCCCACAAATCATCAGAGTACCTCAGCTGCCCACAAAGCTGTTCTCCCACATAGACATTGACTATACCCACACAGAATCTGAAAAGCTTGTTCACTGCTGTGTTGAGTATGAACAGAGACCAGAAAGAGGATGACTAGAACATTAAAGAAAATATGCACTATGATTATACTAATTCTACTTTCTGAAGTATTTATTTTGTAATAATGTTTTCACCATCTAGGCAACATAGCAATATGAACCAGTGATGCACATATTTTGCAGATTACACGTTCAGAAATATCCACTAAATTTGATTTGATTCTGGTTTTGGTTCCTTCCTCTTCAACTCTTTTTTTTAAAGGTAATACATGGGTTTATATTTTAATGCATTATATAATAATATTTAAAGGGGTACAATCACAGAAAACTGCAAAGTAAGCGGAGACCAACTTGTTAAGTTATATAAACTGATGGAGCTCTACCACAATTAAGGATAAGAAAACTATAGATAATGAATATTATTGCTGGCTAAATCCTGCATAGCTGCACAGATGGGATAAGAGATGGGACTGATGAGGAGAGTGTTTTTTCCTTAATGTAGTTAAGCAATTAATACAGGTTTTTCTGTTATTATATTTAATTAAAGGAAAGGTTAGAGTTGGGGTCAGATTTAGGATTTGAAAGATCAAGAACAACATTCCTTCTCCTTCAAAATTGTAGCTCTTATCCAAATTTTAGGAAAAAAAAGGGAAGTTGTAACTACATCAAAAAAGGATATGAATCATCCATCTATGGGGGCTTATTGAAAAGTTCTGCCCCAGCAGCATATTTTATCCTAGATTTAAAATGGTAACAGGTAATGGGAACCCAGAAGAATATGAAATACATATGCTATTGACATCTGTCAGTCACAATCCTTGTCTTATGGTTAAAACAAAATTTAACCAAAAATGAAACCTTCCTCCTTTCTTCTCCCAAACCAGTTCTAAACCTAGTCTAATCATAACCAGAATCGAACATCTTTGGGAGCAATATCTTCAGCAAAATTAAAAATGTAAGCAGTCTCTCCCAGGAACAGTCATCAGCCAAACTCTACCACTCATGCAAGAGTCCCTAGGAAAGCCAACTCCTCAGCCCTTCTTTATCCAAACCATACTGAACAATAAACCCTGTCCCAGAGGGGTTTAGTGTGTTTAATTCATACACCAACACCAAAGAGAAGGGTTTTGCTTCTGCCACAAGCAGTTGCCAAGCTGATTTCAGTGCTGGCGTTGTTTACCTATTTAATGCAAGGATTTAGAAGTCAAAAGTAAGAGTTTTTCTACAAGTTGAATCTTGCATTACCTTTCAGGGCTGGCTTTGTATTGGAGGAGTGGTTCATATTCAATTCTGATTTACAAATTTGTCATCTGTGGATGGGGTAGGGCTGATGTTAGCAGTATTCTAAAGTAAAAAAAGGGATGGATGGTTCTGCTTTTTCTGGATATTGCATGGGCTGTAGGAGTAGGACGATAGCTGTTTTTTTAATTCATGGCATATGTCAGGGTACTTTTGGGACTGGGGAAGGTTGGTGCTGGATTAGGATTTCAGAAGAGGAGGAGTTTGGTTTCTTGCTGTGTCTTGTTAGCCAATGAAATGCTGATTTGTCTCAGAAGAAACTACTACTCAGTAACTAAGCAAAATATCTTCTTTCACTCACTTTATATTTTCCAAAGAAAGGGTGCTGTCCACCAGTGATTAACATATCCATATTTCTTTCCAGGACAAAACGGACTGGATGCCCTGTCCTAAAATGAACATTAAAAAAATCCACTTTTATTACAGCCTGTTGATGCAGATTGCAAATGACATTACACGTACATGGCCAAACTCCTAGTGGTGGGTGGCAATAAATCAGTCCATTCAATATTTTAGTTTCTTATTAACCTACTATGCCTGAGTTTAGGCTGATTCAGCTTTTTTTTTTTTTTTTTTTTTTTTTGGCAACAGAAACAAAGTGGAGGAAATGAGCTTTTCTGTGGTTTTCCCTTCAGCTTCTCAACAGGGGGATGCAAGTTCCATTGAGCATGCACAGGACATGGAAAGGTAAGGAACTCAAAGGACAGCTGTGGCACAAAGGGCTGATGTGACCATACCTGTGTATTAGGATAAAATACACTTGCACTGAATATCTAGAGTGAAATTCATACCACGTCTCACAGAGGCCCAAATGGTTGGGATTTGTACAGATCATCCCAGAGGGAAACTGCCTCCATGCCTTTATTTTAGCTTTCAGATAGTAAGTGAATATCATTGTCAAAAGCCCAGAGAATTTTCAAGCTGCTAAAGATTTACTTTACTTTCAAGATTTACTGCTAAAGAGATTAAAAAATACGATGTCATCAGGATAACCCTCCAAGTAGGGTTCAGGACTGAAGTTTCTTTTTAATTCAGTCTTGTCATTTTTAATTTATTTTAGTTAAATCACTCTTTTGATTTAGTGAAGTCAACTTACTTGTTGGCTGCCACAGCTGCAATTACAGCAAAGAGGGAAGGTTTAGTAACCTTCCCACCAAATGCTCCACCAACACGTTTCACATGGCACATAACTTTACTGGACTGGAGGTTTAAAGCTGAAGCCACTAATTCCTGCAAAAGTGAGCATCCAGAATTTTACCTGCCAAAGTACATTAAAAAATTCCTATTTTCTATGACTAATCATGTATAAAAGCTATCTGGTTTAAGACTCCTGGGCAGAAAAATAGAGTTGCTATAGGTACAAATAAACAAAAAAATTCAAACAAGTAAACATGCTGATGAAAGCACAGTGTAGTCTCTAAAGAACAGTAGAAATGCAAAAAACTCTGAAAACTAGTTTGATTATCTGATGCCAGATATGATAATCCCTATATAGAACTGCACATTCACCTGCAGCTGGAGATAAAGCATCCACTAGAATAGCAAGCTAAATGGAACAGAGTGATTGTTTAGTGCACACTAGAAAATGTAACTAAAATCCTGACATTGCATTTTGAAAATACCTCCTCTGACAGTGTTTTGAAAGATGTAAGTAGAGATTTAATTTGTGGGGCTGACAGGGAAAGCTTGAAAAATGCAAGCCAGTGATGAACTGCAAAAGCTAATACTAAGCATGTGGAAATTAACATTACAATTTTTTAAACTGTTGTTTTCTGCAGGCCTACAATCCAACTCTGATGTCAACTAGAACCTGTTAACTTTTTTCACATAATTTCACATAATTTATATGTCATTATTGTTTCCATATTAATTTATCATTATTTACATGTGATTATGACCCTCATCATCATCATCAATGTAACTACTCATAGGAGCAATGCAACTTGTCTGAAATACACTTTCTGAAGAAGACACTCATTGCTGCAAAAAAAGTGATTGTCCAAAAAAGTGACTGATGAACAAAGATACCCTTTGCTCATCCCATAGTAATACTGCTCATTTGTGTCTGTACTGCCTTGTATAATACAAATAGCACGATACTGTTCCATTCAGCTTTCTGATCAGTAGTCAGGCCACTTACTTTCATAAAAAGATTCAGATCAATTAATCTGAATTGGGAACACCATCGGGGAGTTTCAAGAGAAGTAGAGAAGACTGAAAGCAACTCCTGGTCATGTAGTTAAGCTTTAAGGTTGTTTAGGAAGGTAAGAAACAAGTCTCATTAATACTTCGTTTTACCTGTACATCTGTTGCATGCTGAGTTGACACATACACATCCATTTCTTTATCCTCCACTCTTGGAATAACAAGTACACTATTTGTTTCCATGTAAAAATGTTCCTGTCCTCCCACGTGCAATTCACCTGTTACATATATAATTATTGGAAAATAAACTGGGCTTCAAATGAACTGCAAGGAAATTTATATTTGACTATGTATATGTATACAAGGCAGAGAAAAAGAGTTTTGCCACAGAAGAAAAATAGATTCATTTATTTTTTTATTTCTTTGTATCTCAGGTTTGCACCTCTTTTATTTATAGACTTTTGCTTATTAAGAGAAAATTATTCGGTCAGTATCAAGTCAATATGTCATGCTTTTTCATTTTAAGGTAGTTACATCTCTTCTGCTATAACAGGATTATAATGTCTTCTTGTGAATCACTCTATGAGGGAAAATATAGCTTTCCTCTTCATTTTTTATTCTCTTTCCACCTTTTCTACCCATTTCTATCCAACACTTCACCTTTGTACCGTTTTCTTTAAAAAGAGGGAAATCTGTCAGCACATCATAGAAGCTAATTCTGCAAATTCTCTGTGTGACCTTAACTTTATGCCATCCTTGAGTGTGACATTATTTCCCTAGCAGTAATTCCTGAGACATGTTTCCTAAAACACATATTGATGCAGAAGTAGTAGGAATCAGAACTGAAGCCACTAAGGGGTGACATGACATTTATTTGGGAACAGTTGGAAAAAGTCAAAAGCAGAGCAGAAAAAATATCATCACAGGCCATGAACCTACATGGAGAAGACTGTAAGAATTGAGTGGGCCCAGCCCAAAGAGGTGAAGAAAGAATGAATCTTCAAATGGAAGGTGGCTGCAAAGAGGAATAGTCTGTGCTACATGCTCACAGTGGAGAGAACAAGAAGCATAGTAGTACTCAAATTACAACAAATTGCTTTGATGATAGGAAGGGTGAAGCACTGGAACAAATTACCTGGGGAGACCGCAGAGTCATAATGATTGGAGGTCTCCAAGAACAACTTAGATAAATCAGTTCATGGTACAGATAGAATTGAGGTTGGAAAAAGGAAAAGGAGCTGATTGTCTGCTATGTTCCCTTCTGTGATCAAGCAGGTTGTAATTCATGTGCACTTAGTATTCAGTGAAGAGAAAAACTTGGTTGCAGAAATTTAGGGAATGATAACAGCTGAAGGTAGGTATGATAATATATCTCATGAGAGGACAATCAGAAAAGCACGTGAGCAGGACACAAGTTGTCTAAGCATATATAAGGTGTCACTAATAAATTTCAGAGCTGCATTCAGGGGTTAGAAACACAGATTTAGGGGAAGTGTTAAAACTGGCCAAGCTAGTGTTCAGACAAGGATATCTTGGTATCATACACCTTAATTTTATTGTCTTTTTACACTGATTACTCTTATAAGCAAGTTGAGAAGCACAATCCATATTAAATCAGGGATACCACTGGTTGAAAACTGAACTCAGAAAGTCATTTACATGACTGGCTGTCAGTCTGCAAAACTCATGCATGTAGAATCATAGAAGAGTCTTTTCTAGGTCTAATGTTACTTCATGGTTGCTTTAATAATTAATGATTAAACTATAAGTAGTATCAAACTGGAAAGGGTTGCAAGCCCTTTAGACAGGTTTGTATTTCAAAGTGATTGTTCTACATTGGAGGAAGAGCCTGAAGTCAACGGCATGAAGTTCAGAATGGGCAAGTGCCAGTACTTTAGATAGCACTATTGAACCAGATCCAAGCAGGGATTACAGAGGAGCACAGCTTGGCTGTATATCCACAATTGATACCACTACAACAACCTAATCTGGCTCTGTGACACTAATGTTACATAGAATTTCTGAGAGACTCCACTTGGCATTGGTGAAACCTAATCTGAAATATTACCGTAGTGAAGTTGGATGCAGTAAAATTAGAGATGATGGAGAAGTGAGCAGTGGCAATGATAAAGGTTAGCAGACATGATTTATGGATCAAAGATGAAAGACTGTTTAAGAGGGTGAACATTTAAAGTTTGCAGGAAAGGATGTTTAGATTAAGTATTGTGAAAAAAAGCCTTCTAATTATAAGGACTTTCAAACTCCAGAGCTAACTCTAGAGCTTGTGAAATATTCTTCATTGATACTTCTTAAATATAGGTCTGATACTTATGAACAGAGTATGCTCTAGAACCACTGGATTGTGTTTATGATCTGAAGACAGTGAATTTGGTGACTGCAGGAGTGGTATTCCAGACCAATTTACTCTGATTCCCTTGTTTCTGGGATTATCTCTAAATCAAGCAGTCAGCTTAAAATTGGATAAGGTAAGTTAGCTAACATCCATAAACAAAGCCTTATTTAACTGTAATGTTTGTCCTAGGGCACTTTATTTTAGTGAGACAAGGAAATGGTAGAGTTTACTCAACATGAGCTAGCAGGTGCTAGCTAAGCTTTATTTAAAACATGACACATTTCAGCTCCATTCCCAGTGAAGGGAAAAAAAACAACAAGAGCAAGGTTTTTTGAGAAGAGATGAGAAATTTAAATTCATCCATCAGATGGAAATAGACTCTGAACTAGCCTAACTCTCCTCCCTTGCCTGATGCACTTAATGTTTTAACTACCTTCGATTATTTCATCAGCAGACTTGAATCCTTTCACAATATCTCCTTTTTCTATTTTCCTTTCTTCAGTAATGTATGAATTATGTTTTATTGCATCCTGCAGCAAGAAATAAAACAAACATGTTAATTGTAAGACAGAAAGTTAGATGATTTTTATCATCCATATGATCCTTTTTCAGATGGACAGATGGCTGTAGCTAAGTATTAGAAGGAGCAGGATAGTTTTTCCACTATTAGAGAGGGGTTTTCTTTTTTTTTTTTTTCATAGCTCATGTAATTCTCTTCTTCTCCCAAATTAGAAAGATTAAATGTCTGTTAATGACATTCAGAACTGCTGAAAATATTTCAGAATCAGATTGTTTGCTACTGAAAACCTGCTAGGCTTGAAAATTTTCAGAACATGGATGTAGGATGTGTGATACCAGCACTTCTGCAACCATAAGTTCTCAAATTTAATTTTATACTGATGTACTACTGCTGGGAATTGCTTACTTAGAACTTTCTGAATATTCTTTAGTAATTTCTACCTAGATCTACAAAGACCACTCTCCAATATACTGGATGAATATGTACCTAGTAACACTTTATATGTTTCTAGAACCAAAATTTTGGAGGCCATTTATAAACTTCTTACACTTCATATTCAGAACCAATAAAGTCATATCTCATACCAAAAAAAGAAAAAGCCAAAGCCTGGCAGAGCTCTGCACAAGGCAGAAAACAGTGAGTAAGGTGACAGAGAGCTCTGTCAGACAAGGAAGAGGAGACAGATTGTTACCTCAATAGTCAGAATTGGGTCCAGATCTTTGTAGACTATCTTCACCTTTCCAGCCCCACACTTTGCCTGAGTCAGTGACTCTGCAACCACAGCACAGATTATCTGACCAACACAAATCACCTGCAACACACCAATGTATTAACCAAGGAAAAAATATAGTAGTGGTTAAGTTTCTGTACAGGAAGTGTTTTGAGGAAATAGATTCTGCTCAAATGCCACTTTTATATTCTGTTTCTCTAAGAATACTATCCCAGTGGAGACTTATCTTCATTAGATGAGAAGCCTATTAGAATCTTTCATTTGCTGCAACACTTCTGGCATTAGAAATGCTGCTGACATCAGTAGTTATGAATATTCCCCCTGTGTTGATCCTAAGGTGGCCAGATACTGAGCCAAGTAAAATCCCATCTGCACAGACTGCTTTCCTTGTCTGTATGCAGAAATGAAGGAAACTCAGAGAAGCAATAATAGAGAGGTAAGAGCAACACATTAGGAATTATTCTTGCCCTATTGCAAATACCATGGAACAGCATCACTTGTGATGGACACAGCCTGAGGCCTGGGACATTTTGTACAGTCATGCTGGCTGCATGGATCCTATAAATTTCTTAGCTCTGTTGATATTTGTCAAAAAGAAAAATGTTGTCTCCCTCTGCCATATTCTAGTGTATAATCTAGCAATTAATTTTATATTGGTTCCAACTGGGCAATTCTCATTTTATTTGTCTCATCTTTTAAAACTTCAGATATCATGGCTGTTTCATACTTTCTCAGAATCCATGACAATCACTCATTTATCAGCCCTTAAGGAATCATGGCTTATTGACTTAAACCCTAAGTTGTTAAGAGAGTTTTTCCTTTCTCTCTTACTGGGGAATGGTAATTCTGCTCAGCCCAGTTTGCCTGGTTCTGCATTAATTGATTTTGGACTTACTTTCACTTCATTGCAATAAGATGATACTTGCAAACTCACTTTCCTATTTTATAAATAACTGTACCAAAATGTTCAGAGACTCCTCCAGAAGCAAGAAATACCTTATCTTCTGCATATGCTTGCTCATCTTTGCCATTTTTCCCTGGAACATCTCTTGCTGTCACTACGTCAACCACTCCTGGCACCTGAAGGGCTTCTGATGCATCAATTGATCTGGAAAGAACACACACATAAATAAGTACAGTATGTGGTACAAATAACTCTAGTACAAGTAATGCCGTGAACTCTGGGACAGAAAGATAATCCACTTAGTATTCTCATGACAGATCTCTACATAGAGAAGGGGGATGTGTTGATTAGCATACTGAGAAAAAAAATAAATGGAAGGTACGAGCATCTGTGTGTGCTAACCAGCTCTTTCAGTGCTGGTTCCACTACTTACAAAATATAAGAATATATTTTTTACACATTTTTTTGTACTACAATGGCTGAATGCAATAATGTGGACTCTTCTTTCCATATCTGGCACTTTTTAAAGCACACAGCAAAGAAATTCTTACCTCATTTGTAATACATACCTCGTAATATGGCCAAATCAGATAATAAAAATAGAAAATACTTGTTAACATACTTATGTGCTTGTAGTTTTTTCTTACTTACATGATCTCTGCATGGGCTTTAACGCTGGTGACCACAGCTAGTGAGAGTTCTCCATCCACGGGACGAATGTCATCAATGAAAACTGCCTCACCAGTGGTGTGCTTAATTCCAGACTGGTGCCTGATGGGACGGCCCACGGGATCTTGTGGAGACTGTCCTGGGTCAACATCCTGCAACACATGTTGTCCTCAAGACAGACCAGTAATTATAGGAGCCTTTACTTAAAAACACTTTCTGAGGATATTTGGTGATCAAAAAAACTATGTGGAACTATCTAAATTTTATGATGATACTTGTGGGATGCATGCATTATAAAGGACTAATTAAACTTTTAGATCATGCTGTCTTGGCACCAAGATGGCCCTGGCAGATGTCTGAGAAATATACTGTATTAGATACCATTCATGTCTCTAGTACATGGCAGTCTCTTCTGTGGAAAGATTGCACTAGATAAACAGGTGGAAAAAATCAAGAAAAAGATAGGTAAAAGGGACAAAATGACTAGTTTACACAGTGGAACCATAGCAGATAAAGGAGAGCTAAAGTGATCTGGATCTGATAGCTGGCCTGTCTGCTGGGTCCACACTGCTTCTGGTAGCATCTTGTGCAAGCCACACTCTTACACACTTCGCCATCACCACTGCTTCAAACAATCATATTTCATACTGTTTACTTCTTAAATCAGGACTATATTCAGGAATCATTGTAATTCCTTCTTGTCCATCTTCCTAAAGAGACAGGTAAATTAATATTCTAGATAGTGTTGACTAGACTAAAAAATGGTTTAATTCATTTTTTTGCTATTTAAATTCCCTATTCCTCTATTACTTCAAAGACAGCCTGTAATTGAAAGCACTGCAGACATACTTAATTAAAATATATCTTTGGTGCTCTCTGTTGTTGAATTGCTAGTTCACATTAACTTGAAACAGACTATTACTGGGGACCACGAAAATCTTCCAACATTTATGTTTTGTTTGGACTTCTGCCAAGTGAAGAGTTCTCTAAAACATGTCTTCTTAGTCTCTCAAAGGACAAACACTAAATTCTTGGCTGATGCTGAAAGTTTTCAGTAACAAACTGATAAGAAGCAGCAAAAGTTTGATTTCAAAAGTTTTTAAATTTTGCAACAAAACAAAAAAAAGGGGGAGAAATCTTGATGAAATTCAAAATTTTTAAAATTGAGATCTTCTACTGAACAAACTTTTTCATATGCCAATCACTTCTCCTTTCTATACTGTAGCTTTGCAAAGAAGTCTTTCAGGCTTGAACAATGACAGAGATGCTGCAGTAGGTTATTTCATTTATTTGTACTGAGGCCCTCTGGGCAGTTTAACTAAATTCTGCTGAGCTCTTTCATTGCTGAAAGCTGTGTTCCCTGTTTCAGCTGTGTCAGGACAGCCTGATCTCCACAACACCTTGAGGACCAGGAGTGCATCTGTACACTGAAAGACCAGGAAATCTACAAAAATTTAAAAGATTTCCCACAGAGACAAACGTTTCAGCAGCTTCACATTACAATTAGTAGAGGCTTAAGAATGGAAGGTTAGAAGGGCAAAACACTCATTAAAAAAGAGGGTCTATGGCAGTCCTAGCTACAAACACACATCACCTGATAGATCTGGACACCCTGGGGAACACCACTTTGCAGCACTCCCAAAGCACTCATCTTCTCCTGTGAAAGCTCAGCATACCTGAAGGGATACTGAAAAGAAGGGATACTGTCAAAGAAGTGTTGTCAGACCCTTATTTCTAAAAGAAAAGTTTTCCCTTCACATGTTTTGAAATAAGTCCTAACACCTTTACCCTTCCCTCTCACATCCCTTTAAAAAAGCAGAGTTTTCCTGCAGTCTATATGCTGATGGGGGTATGCAATTCTTGTCCAGTGCTTACCATCTGATGTAAACCATGTAACACTTCCAGGTAAAATCTGAAAAGAAAGCTGACAAGCAGAGTTCTCCTATATTCTACTTTTCCTCCTGAAGCTGATGGAGGGAGAACAATTTCCTCTAGCACCAGTTTACAAGCTTCATTCAGCATCTGATCATTCCATTGCCTGGTAAAAAAAGCAGACTAACATGAACACACATCTCTTTATAAGTAACAGGTGGCTAAAAATACTGTGAAGTTTTTGTGAAGTAATAAGTGAATCAGTGTAAGTTATATCAAGAAATAATCTATTGTTAGAAAGGACAGGTTAAATACAGAGTGTGAGGCTGATGGTGGGATCTCCACTGATGCCATCAAGCAAACCCCACGCTTCACACTATGACTCCTTCCTTTTGGTTAAATACATTAAGATATCCAGTACCTTCCTATAAGCTTCTCACAGGACTTTCTTGCACTGAGTGTGGTTGAGCCAATGCCTCCAAATAAAATACTCAGATCTACAATGGTGTCTGTGCCTGGATGGAAGAGCACTCGCATTCCAGAATTCACTATGGACAAAGCATTTTTCTGTCTTTCAGCCTGTCTGAAGGCCGAAATAAAGTCATCCTAGTAGGAAAAAAAAAAAAGGAAGGAAAAATTCCATCAATGTTAGAAATGACTGAAATCTATTTTTCTTGTATTTTAGGCGTTACCATTGGCCAAAGTTTCAGTTAAACTTTCTATTTTTCTTGAAGTACTAAGCTAATCCTAGACTGTTGTACTAAGAGGGGACATTATTTGAGGTTATCTGCATGTAAGAAAACATGCCAAAATTTTAATGACTTCATCAGTGGTTTAATGATTTCAGAGTGCTGGAGAAGAACCCTTGTCCTGATATAAGCCACTTCATATATATGGCCTGTATGTTCTTTAAGTTTAATTCCAGCTTAGAAATTAGTGGTTTCTTCTCCAGGACATGGAGGTCCCACCGTGTTAAGGACCCTGATTTTGTGAAGATTTTACACTCAGAGATTTTACATTTTATGCTATAGTAATGGCATTTACAGAGGAAGCACTAGGAACAGCTGGGCTTTCTAGTGTCAGAAATATTTTGTTCTGGGGACAAAGCCACATATTTTAAAAGAAAACATAATAGCATTATCTTTCATGACCAGGCATAGATGAGTCCGTTGAAGAAACTGCATGAAGTGCTATTTCTGTAGCCCCAGAAAGAAACTTCAGAATCAGACAGTCACAGAAGTTTTAAAGTGAGGGTTAGCAGGTTAGATTTTCGCTATGAGTATGTGATACTGTCATGACAAATGTGAAATTCAGGATTACATGTTGAACAGCGAGTCTTGTCAGAGATGGAAAATCCTCTCAACAGGATTTACATTGCTTTACTGAAGCAATGTTCATATCAAACTACCCAAACCCAAAAGCCAGAAGCTGACAGGAACAACAGGGAAAACTGATGGCCAAGTTTCCCTCTACACATTCTGTTGACAAGTCTTGCAAAAAACCTTTGTGTGTGCCTTTTCATTGTTTTAGCAGAGTTAATCAAAAAGGCGATTCAGCATGAAAGTGAGTGGCAGAAGCAGCCTCCCCAGAAAGTGGTGTTAATTTCCCATGGTGAGACTTCTTAATCTCATGTTATTCATGTGACAGCTGATAATTTCCCTGCTCTTCAGAGCAACCTTCTGAGTTTGCCAGCAGTGCTATTGTCTTTTGTTCATTTTGTTGTCCTCACCTCTGCTGTTCCTAGGTGTGACTGTCTCTCTCTGAAAGGCTCTGAAATACTCTTTGTGATAGATTTGGCTTTGTGGCACAACTTGTCATTGGACAAAGCAGGCTGGGATTTCTTTTTTGTTTTACTTTGTGGAATGAAATAACCCATTTCTCCTTAATTTTCTCTTCCAGGCTGTTTGTTTCTCAAATCACTACTAAGGTTCATAGTTTCTAGGCAGCAGAAGCACTGTTACTGCTCCTAATGCAGACTATGCTTTTGCAGGCTTCAAGCTCATGGGAATCCTTTTGTTTTTCATGGGAAACCTGCCATGGCCAGCCAAATTTTCATGGGCAGAAGTCTCATCTAGCATGAAGCCACATATGTTTAATAGGTTGCATTGCAGTGGGCAGCTACTCTGGGGACTGACCCTTTGATGTCAAGGTTGGCAGAGACTCCTGTGATCAGTTGCTCACTGACTTCAGTCAAAACATACCAGTTCGTAGCCAGGTCTTCCCCTACTCGCCCCGTACTTTTCCTCACATCCACTAGAGGGATATCTAAGAACATAGTAACCAGGACACCATTTCCTCTGCCCCCAACCCCTAATGCCACACGCTACCACCTTCGGTCACAGTAGTCAGGACCTTATTTTTTGAGTAGTTGCATGGACAACGCAGGATTATTCATTGTAAATCGCTAATTAGCGAGAAGAGGTCAGAAATTACCTTTATCGCTGAAGGTTATGGGACAATATGGCACTTTTCCTGCAAATATCCAGGCAGCCTAAATTTCTGTGTCTGGAAGGGGCAGAAGCGCACATTTAAGACTGGGGAAAAAGCAGTAAGAGACCCAAAAGAAGCAGAAGATGATGGCCAGCGGGAAGAAGTGGGAGACGGGAAGAGAAGGATGCCAGAATTTTCTTAGCTACTTCCAAAGCAGTAGTAGCCTGTGTGTTTCAACACCTACTGGAAATAGTGGATATAATGCTAATAACTACCCTGGAACCTGAATGAAACTTTTGAAATATTGGGGTCTTACCTTCATAGAATATGGAATGAGAACAGAAACAATGACCTCCTCGGCATTTATGTCTGCATGCTCACAGCCAGCAAGGAAACGATCATTTAAAAGAATCTGTCTTTTACCATCTGTTGGAGAAAACTATAATCTGTTACTGAATGTGAAGCAAGAAGGAAACATTTCTGCATTGCAGATTCAAATTTGTTGAATCTGCGCAAAAGAATATATTAAGGCCAATATGGCCTTAGAACTGTCTGCACCATTCAGGATCTAGCCTTTGGGTGAAAGGCTAATCTAAGTTACATATTAGGTGCAATATATTTCCCTATATGAATGCTATAGTTCTCCATCACAGATAAAATACTGAGTATTTTATACTTTCTGGAAAATACATGTCTTTCAAATGCTAACAATATTCAGAAAAGCAGTTATTTAGGTTTAAATATAGCTATTCTGTTTCTACTCAAAAGCTCTTTAGACCATTAAATCATTAAATCACAGTAACTTTTAAGAAACTATTCAAGCACTGCAATGAGAGGGGGAATCAGCCCTGTACATCTACAAAGACAGTAGAAACGTTCCCAAGATTTTCCAAAGCTTTAGCTTGATTACTGGTAGCAATTTAGACGCAGTGTACATGTATACACACACATACATATCCACAAAAGTACCGGTGACCTCAGGAGAAATTTCTAGGCCCTAGCGAATGAACCAAAGTTTTTCTTAAAATGAAACAGGCATAAGCAATAAAAGCAAACAGTGCTGGAGTTACAAGACAGAGCTAAACTGTCTGATAAATGCAGCAATATAACCAAAGGCAGTGTAGAAAGGAGGCCTTTCTACCCATCAAGTGTGCTGACCTCACATTCATGGGATGGCTAGATGCTGCTTCCTTTTGTCTTGTGAAACAGAAAGGCAGTGTTTTCTACTGGCAGATACTTTTTGCAAGTTATAATGACAAGCAAATACCAGGATAATGTTCTCCATTCTCCTGAATATACCATTCTAATTCATTTAGGAGATGCACAGTAGTATTTAATTTGAAAACTGTTACCTGTAGACATATTCTCTGTTGCAATGTTCTGCCTATTCAACAAAGGTATCTGGCAGGGGGCTCAAAGCTTACCTTCTGATGCCAAGTTGAGGACAGATTTGCCAACTGATAAGATTGGATTCAAGTCCCAGGATGATCCTCTGCTTACAATGTGTCCTCCTAAAGACTTTAACAAACAGTGAGGTTATTTTTAGGCTTGCCCTTCCTACATGTAACAGGGATCTGTATCATAACCCCATTTTATTCCATTAAAAGACCTGATGGAAGAACTTATATTTGTTTTGTTCAATTTTAAACAAAGTTCTACCTTTGTACATTTTAATGTGATCTAATCTATTGCTCCCTTCAAAAGCCATTTCTCATATTGTCTCTGTTGACAGAGACCAGGTTTACTTTTTTGCCACCCAAAGGCATGGCCATTCCCTTGAATTTTCTTCCTTAAAGGAAGAAATACAGGGTATTGCAGTAAGAGGATTTTAAAGGAAAATTAGGGACAAGATCAGAGATGCCTAATACATGATGGGTAAACAGTTATGTGTTGATAGTCAGCTTAAAGCATGATTGGCTGCACTGTACAGCACCTTACCAGAGAATATCCCTTTTCTTCTTTTCCTAGTCTCCTCCAATTCTCTGCTCATCCACTGAGCAGGAATAGCAGAGTTTCTCTTGTTATAGTTCTCTGGGTATTTGCCCCTGCTAACTAGCCTAGGACTCCCAGTTATTTCACACAACATTTGTGATAGTAGTAACGTTTTTGCCTTATAAAGCACAATCCCAGCCTCATAATTGACATTCACACAGATATGTCTGTAGTGATGTCTTATTTACTGTCACTGCTGAGTACATACCGCCATGCTCCTGATCTGTTCTCCAGCTAGAGTTCTCAGGTGCTGCAAGAGAGCTTGGTATGTTTTCGTTTTCTCTGCTGTAAGTTCTGTGACTGCCTTCATTAGGATGTCTCTGAGCTGGGCCAAGCAGCAGGCAGCTCCTATTACTAGCCCTGAAATCAAATGAGTTTAAACAGTGAAATCATCATGCCACAGAATAAATGCAATATATAGCTGATGTGGCCTCTAAAGAATTGCTTCTGTACACAGCTCTTGTCAGCAGGATGACAAAGAAAAATGATAGGAAGATGGATTTTGTATTACACGCAATAAGAAATGCAAGTACTACTTGCTTATTCAGCAATAGTTCCCAGTATAAAGACATACCTGAAAAATATACATTGAATATTTGCACACAGTAGTGCACATCCCTTTTTTGTGCTGTGTATCCCCAAAGACACGAATAACAGTTGATTCAGGAGGAAGGATCACCAAATTGTTGGAGTCTTCCAAGACTGAGCTGCAAACACTCTATCACACACCCAGTAGTATCAGAGAAGCCACCACCATGGACTTCAGCAAACATTGAAGTAGCCCAGCCACTCCAAAGAAAATCCTATAGTATTTCAGATTGGAAATTTATGTTTTAACATTTTGTGTTGAAAATCAAGCCCTAGCCTAATCAATATTCTGTGGACTTTGTTAGATATATGGTTGTGATAGAAAGGTTCTTGACCAGTTGAAAACAAAAATAAGGCTGACTTAGGGCCTTCCCCTATGCTTGCTTTCTTCAGAAATTTGAGATTTGAACAAATATATATTCACAGAACAGTTTAATAAATTATCTATCACAATCAATCCATCATCTCAAGACCACAGGTGAGCTGACATATTGGTTCAAAAGGCTCAGTGAAATGAGACAAAAAACTCCAAAGAAAACTCCACACCAATGAGAGTCGATGGTTCTTGCTGCTTCAGGTGCAAGACCCAAGTTAATTTAGTTGCCACCGTTTGTTAACACAGTAGAGATAACTTGGAAACTTACCATCACTTGTGCTATTCACAACATGCATTTCTGAAATCCTAACAGGATGGAGAATGATTGGATGATAGACACCACTGTGATTTCTTTTGAGACCTGAAAGGCAAAGTATGATAGTCTGATTAGAGATGTGTTTAAAGAATTAACCATATTCCTGAATATGGAGACTGAAAAGTTCAAAACCACTGTAACTAAGTAGTTTCAAAGTCTTATAAGTTTTGTTATGCAGTATCTTGAGTATCACATTTTACTGCTTTTACCAGGCCCATCTGAAGTTCAAAGCCTAATATTTTCTTTTCTGGCTCCTGTTCCTTGCTCCTCTGAACTGGTTTCTAGTCCTTTCCCATATCAAACTCAGATTTCACCTCTCACCTGAAAGCTATACACAATTCCACACATGCTTCATCATGTTTCTAGCTATTCACTCCACCTTTTTATGTGAGCTATATAATTTTTTTGTTTCCCTTGTTCTCTTCTTGTGCAATGTCTTTCTGACGACAATGAAGAGCTTTCCTTTGATGTAAAGAGACTTGAAGTTTTTAAACTTAAGAGATTTGCCATTTTGCCAAGTACTGCATCATGGGAGTATATTACTAAACAAATGCCATGCCCTTTACTAGGCAATGTACAGATATATAAAAGATCTAAAGGATTCTCTTTAGATCTGGGCCTTTGTTGTCTCAACAGTGAAGGAAATACTCTTACCAAATTCATCCTGATGGATACTCCCTCAAAAAAAGTATACTGACAATTTCTAAAAACAAAACCCTGCCATCCATAATATGCAGGATTTAGCCAATGCCTGGATATCATACCCTTTTCTGGGCATTATTTATTTTGTGATGCTCGATGTTAAATGGGATGTGAAATGTTTGCCTCTCATCAGCACAAGTCCTTTCTTATTCACACAAATTGTGTCTCTGAGACCGAGGTTACTGAGGGAAGTTAGGCAGCACAGATTCTGGACTCAAGTGATAGCTGGTACTAGTCCTAATTTAGTTATTGATTTGCTGCAAAAAAGTCATGGGAAATTACATTGGCCTAAATATTGAAGCACAATTCTTGTGGTGACAAAATGCGTTTAGGATCCCTGGAAGAGAAAATGCAGGATTATGTGCCTACTGCACAATGTAGTCCCTGTGTCAGAAGATCTTTTGTCCTTCCATACCCACACTAGTGTTCCCCACAACCAAAGGTGCCTTTGGATACTTGGCTTTCAGCTTCAGAAGCTCTTTCAGGCTAGGAGGAGAAATCCATGTTGTTCTTTTGCCGTGAAAAATTAGAGTTGTTCTTTGCTGCTCTTGAGCCATTCTCTGTGGTAGAAATGACAAAGACTTGGTAAATTTGACTAGTGTCTCAATAAAAATATAAATGACCATATTGCTCAGTAAGACACTGTGTTATGATAGACAGTGAGACACTAATGGGGTTTTTCATCTGAGGTTCCTGTTGTGCTGAACAGTGCTGAGCTTTTATTGTAACTACATTATTGCTCAAGAAACTGAGATGAGAATGAACTAAATGACTTGGTAAGAGACACACTAAATGAATAGTAGGAGATTAGTCTCATGTTTCTTTCTCCTGCTCTGATGATTCTGAAAGACTCCCATTGTATATGATGTAAACAATAAAGCAATGTGACTGGACTTCATGGGAAATTGGGATGCCAAAATCTCACTGCATATGTGACAGAATACAAGATGTATTCTCTTAGTCAGGGAGGATCACTACATCCCCATTTGCTGAGAGTCATGTATCTACTATACTAGATCCAAACTAGTTTCTATATTAAGTAAAATGCTTTTAAAAATAGAAATACCTACTTTCCCATTTGTCTGCAAGGACTAGTCTTTTCAGAGATATTGTCTCCTTGGGATGGTTGATCAGAATTTACATTTTTGTTAAATAAAGTGGTTTTCCAGCACCTCCTGTCTTATAATACTATATAATTTTTTTTTCACCCTGAGAATATCATACATGTTTTTTTCATATTTGACAAGTGCCATGTGCAATCATAATTTCAAAATATGCAAAAGCAATCCCTGCGAAACACCTGTCTTTGCAGACAATGCAGTGAACAAACAGACAAGTGGACTAGCCACAAAACATTTCCAGCTATGGACTGGCCTTCTAGGTAAAAGACATATCTGAAACACAAAAAAGGAGCTATGTGTCTGTGGAAGCAATCATAATCCTACTGGCATGGGCACCTCGTGTAGCCTGGAGAAGCAGTTCTGTCCTCCTGGCAGCTCAGTCTGAACACATAGAGCAGATGATGGTACCTCCTTTCTGGCTGACCAGCTTTTTCAGCCAGCAGCACTTTAGCCAAGATCTTTAATCCAACTATAAAATTTGCAAAATATTCACTTAATACTTGCACTCTTAAAGCATGAGTCTCTCCAAGACAGGTCAATAGCAGAAAAGCAAATTTATTTTCCACTTCATGGTTTCATAAAGGAGCTTATGGCTTACTGAGCATGTTCTGCACTGAGAGGCAATCATTAAATAATAAAGATGCACTCTATGACAAGTGTTTACAAAGCCAACTACTAAGCAGCGAACAGCATTCTGTAGTACAGTGACAAACCAGAGAACTGTGCCATGCATTTTCAGAACTCAAATGAACTTTTGTGCCTCTAGGGTGGTTGTGTAATATCAGCAAGAACTGCCCACGAACTGCAAAAGGAGTGCACACAAGGAATTTCATAAGAAGCTGCTAGAAACATGAGCGAGGATTAAAAAACCACCTGGAGCTGCCTGCTTGGATTCTGCTCAGTCTGATTTGGGTAAGCCCTGCCCTACTATTTTCACAGATATCTTCTCTTGCCTCTGTCTGCAGATTATGGGCACTTTCCTCCTCCTCCTCCTCTTTTCAAGTTTCCATCTGTCCTTCTGTGAGTTTCCAATAACTACTGCAATAAACCCTCTTCTTTCCTCTTCAAGTCATTTGCCTTTCCTGTGGACCTGCATGTAAGTCCAGTCTCAGGTTGCTAGGGTCTGTTTACCAGCTAGAAGCAAACAATAACTTGAATCCAACAGAGAATACAAAACAGAAAAGATGGAAAGTTCATTTGGGATCTTTCAAAGTAAATACTATATTCCACAAAAAAGCCAACTGGTCCAAAATAACGGTCACGAATAAGGAGCTCTTTTGGGAAATGTTGGTTCTGCTGAGGCAAACAATTTGCTTTTTAAATATGATCTATTTTGTAATAATGACAACATGTGGATTGTCCACACTGAAATGCCTCATTATTTGTGACTAAAACTAGTATATCTGAGGATAGATGTTTCAGTTTCACAAAAACACAAGGTTTTCAACTTCTGCAGGAACTCAGTCATGCTTGCAAGATAACAAAAGTCAGTAAGGCTTACCATTAGCTCAGGAGGAAATATAAATTCCTGTGTTGGATCCATGGGCAGGAATTGTTCTGGATTGCAAAGACCTGAAAGGATCTGCAAATAAATTTGGGGGGGGGGGGTGGAGGGGGAGAGAGAGAGCAGAATGCACATATTCAGACTAAGTTGCAAGTCTTTATCAACAGATGAGATTATTTCCTAGTGTGAGACAGTTTTGACACTTTATAGGTTGTGTTCAAAAATTCAAGATACCCTAATTAATTTCTAATCTTTAGTTTATTCACAGACTACTCAAAAGACGGACTACTCAAGAGACAGACTATCATACCAATCCCTCTCAAGCCTTTGCTTGAAATACATCCAGCTTCAAGAAAAATCTTGCAGTATTTCCTGAAACTGGTCATAGCAAATGTATTGCATCACACTGGGTGCAATGTGTACTGTGGGAAAGTGCAGGGCTGGATGGCATAGTTATGTTCTGTTCATAACTCTGCCTCTTAAGGAGCTTTCTGACAGAGCTTGACATGACAACAAATAATGTCCATCTGATCAGAAAGAATTGTTTTCTGCTTTAGGAGAGCCTTATGCAAAGCTCCTCTCCAGCCTTGCATAAGCACTTCAAGAACCGAATGTTGACAGTGCACCATAAAAATTAGCTTTTTCTACTTGTTCACAGCTTTCTTTTTTCTGCAGAGGCCTCTGGTGAGGCTATCCATCTTCTGAGCTTTCAGAAGCTTACATAAAAGAAGACTGAATGTGCTATGCTAGCAGAACTTGTTTGTATTTTCTGCCTCACTGATTTATTTGTGGAATCAAAAATCCTGTCAAACCAGAGAGCAACAGGTCTCAAGTATATTGAATGGGGAAAAAAAATTGACATATCCTAGTCTGAAGTCTCTTATTCCTTCCCCAATCAGTCATTACCTCTGCACAGATTGTGGCCTTGGTAACTATAAGATCTGGCTCTGGATGACTTAATCTACTGATTGACACCATTGATGAAATGGCAAAAAAACCCTCTGTGTCTGCCATGATCCTCACGATAGTTAGGGACTAGATATTTGCCTTGGATGAAAGCAACTATGAGGAATGCAAATCAGGGAAAGCCAAATAAGAGGGCATCCAAAGGAACTGCTGTTTTGTACTTGGTAACTACTCCATTGCTAGACTTGTGCTTCAAACAACCTCGTCAGCAGCTCACCAACAATTTTCAGTTCTTAAAGGGGCAGAGGCAACACACAGGTGCACAAATGTCCACACATCCAGTCACACTCCTTGGAGCTCTACAGTTTTTCACTGTCAAAACAAGTTTTCTTCCAATCACCCAAGACATTTTGCTTTATAGATTTCTTAGAGATTTTCAGTCAGAGAAAATTCATCTAAGGAATTAAAATCCTCATTCTGATGCAAGATCAGTGCACTATGGCCTCTTCTTACAGGTGGATGAAGAGAAGACAACAAGTTCTTAGATGCACACAGGGAATGGAGGACCTTTTTGAAGCAGGATGCTCCTTATGTATACTGAAGCTCCCATATGTACCCTTATACATAATAATTGTGGAACTTTTGCCAGGACAAACACAAATGAGATTACTTGTGATTTTACAATGTGCATATGTGAAGTGAGAATAAAACAACGTATATTTTGAAGCAATGCCAATATATCAGTTGCAACACAACACAGGAGAATGAGACACTTCCCTCAAGATCTTGGAGCCACTAGCAACACAGTAATGCTTATGAAAGGCTTTACAAGCATATACTGACACTAAAGAGCAATAGTTTTTTTCATCTTCAGGAATTCAGATTTGGTGTCTCAAGCACACAGACACAAGTCATGCTGATGGCTGCAAAACCTCTGTTACGGGAGTTCAACTTCACATCAAGGCCAGCTTTTTTAAGAAAGCTGTTTCTGACCAACAGTTTTCTTCTTCACACACAAAAAAGCAGACATAAATGTTTAATATTGTGATCCACACTCTCCCTGGAAAATGTCACTAAATAAGTAAGCCGTATGAGGAGCAGCTGAGGTCACTTGGTTTGTTCAGCCTGGAGAGGAGGAGCCTGAGGGGAGACCTCACTGAGGTTACAGCTTCCTCATGAGGGCAAAAGGAGGGGCAGGCACTGATTTCTCTGTGGTGACCAGGGACAAGACCCCAGGGAATGGCCTGAAGTTGTGTCAGGAGAGGTTTAGGTGGGATATTAGAAGAAGGTTCTTCACCCAGAGGGTGGTTGGGCACTGGAACAGGCTCCCCAGGAAGTGGTCACAGCACCAAGCCTGACAGAGTTCAAGGAGTGTTTGGACAGTGCTCTCAGGCTCATGGTGTGACTCTTGGGGAGGGTCCTGTGCAGGGCTAAGGACTGGACTCAATGATCCTTGTGGGTCCCTTCCAACTAGGCATATTCTGTGATTCTGTGATTCTAATAACACAGATAATAACAATGCAGATATGCTTGTGCTACCTTTCTCTAGCAACAAGAGCAGAGACCCTGGAGTTCAGTCTGGTCTAAATGTCCAAAGCTAGAAAAGTAGCTGCTGCCATAGTTAAAGGTGACCCCTTCCTACAAATCTGACAACGCAAACAGGAGTTAACAAGAAAAAAAATCCATTGCACCTTACCTGACCCCCTGTAGAAGATGAACAGACACATTCCTCCTGATCCAAGCAACATTGTCCAGTTCCTCTGAGTTGGCAACATGTTGGCTCCTAAAGAAATCATATTCTATTACATAAAAGCAATGAGGCAGCTTGGTGATTTATTGTAAATTAACGTTTCAAGGCTTCCTGTTCCAAATCAGATTTGTTCAGCCATTTGAAGTTGCTCCAGGAGACCCCTTAAACCATAGGACCCCTAGGAGTGAGTTCCCTTTGGGTACCCAGGTATCCATGAAGCAAACAGAAAAAATCAAAATAACTTCAGTGGTGTTTAGATCAAGTCCTTGTAACTGATGCGAAGGATTTTCCACTGCATTGCAAGGGTACATGTAAACCAAAAGTCAGTGGTGGCTGTAAGCTCTTGGCACATTTGGTAACTAAAAGAGCCAGATTTTCCAAAGGCTCAACCAAAGAAAGATTTTCCAAATGATGCAAGATTCCAGATAGGTAATTCAAAGAGGCTCAGCCTTTTCAGATACCAAAAACTATCCCAAAATAAGAAATACATTTGAAAATACTGACCTACCCTAGCAAAAGATGTGTAGCTGTCTATAATTGGCCTGTATCCTGTGCAACGGCACAAATTACCTGAAATAAACCACATGATAATCAATCATAAGAAACCAGAACAATGTTTGGAAGCACTAGCACAATTGGAAATGGTCTGGCATCAAACCTGCAGATACAAAATGCTGAAATCTATGTCCCTATGCTCAAATGGGCAAAATCACATATGTAAAAATAAGAAATATTACTCCAATAGTGATTATATTATTAAAATTTATTATTTTTAAGGTGATTTCTAAAAATAATATTAATTAATTTATGTGAATGCATGTAAAAAAATCAAATTATGAAAAGCATCCAAAAGTAAATTCTACAATTACTAGTACCACTACAGTGTTTGGGTTTTACAATCAAATCCAAAATCTACTGCCATCCATCACTATGATGGTTTTCATATATAATTAGAAGAAGTAATGAAATCTCTACTGCAATTTCTGGCATTTCCCTCATGAAATCAAAATCTTCTGGTGGGAGGGGTTAGCAAACTTATGCTAGCAAACTTGGCACTTGAAAGTGAGTTGAAGTTGCTTTGCTTGTTGTAGTAAATATTGCTTGAAGAGCAAGACCTTGTTGTATTACTCAGTGAATACTTATACTCTCAGTATATTATACCTACTCTTTCAGCATATTCTTTGTAAAACTGTACTCCTACTGCACCATATTGAGGCTGCTGGTGCAGGAGGGCTATAAAACCAGGCTGTTCTAAATGCAGGGATTTTCTGAAATATTTATGCAGTGCTAAATGCCACTGTGTATCCCTTTAGAAACCTTCGGTGTGAACCATCTTTTGATGATTTTGAGATGTCTTTAAGCCATTATGGCTATATCAGAGTACCATCTACTGCCATCATCTACTGCTCTTTGAGTTAAATCATATTTATGACCTTGGCAATCAAACATGTATCTTTTTATTATACTTTTTACAATTTACTGTCTGTAACTTACCATCCAGAGCAGAAACAATCTGCTCCATGGAAGGTTCTGCATGGTTTCTCAGTAAGGCATACATGGACATCACCATTCCAGGGGTGCAGAAGCCACACTGGGAGCCATTGCATATGGCCAGCCTTTCCTAGAACAAAACAGAACAACAGTCCAGGATGTGGCTTCACTGACTTTCTAAATAGCCATCTTCAGGTATGTCATCTACCAGCTGTAGGATGACAGCAGCATTTTCACTATCCCAAATTCTCAGAGCAACCACCTAGTTAAAGGATAATACTTGCTCCAGTTTAGACCCTCATGATCCTAATTATGAGAATAGAATAAGGCCTGAGACTTTCTGTTTAGACATCAATAATACATTAGGTATTTCTAACCAAGAAGGATAGAACACAGAATATCTTCTCAACCAGAGCTTCAGCGCAGACCAGTCACAGAGTCATGACTCTTGGAAAATAATATTGAGACAAAAAGAGAATGTTCAGAAAACATTCTTAAATCTATGTGGTCAGACCGTGATTTTCAGGGACAAGCCAGAGTGGAGGAAGTTAAGAGCTGACCTAATCCAAGGGAAATCTCTGGCATACAGATCAAACAAGCCTAATTTAATACCTGTCAGTCTGGTTGCCAGCTGGAATCATTCATCCCGTACTACACATATGCACAGACCGTTGTCCTCAGTGAGATGGCCAGAGGCCATGCTGGTGACTAAATGAAACTGATTGATGCTCTTTGTCCTTTCCCATCCCCTTCTGAAAGCCGGCATCCTACCTACCATATGCTTGGGTAGTCCTGTGGAGATTGTGATGTGCTCCCTGCATGGTAGTACATTAGGAGGAGCTCCTTCCATGCTCCATACAGGGCCAATCACAACCCAGCAACTGTTGTATTAATTCCCCCAAACACTTGTTTGTGGGGTGAAGTCACAACCCCACAACTGAAGTTTGAGGGGTTTGGAATGTTACAAAGTGTTGGGCCATTTTCCATGGGAGCAGTGGAGCTAATTAGATAGTTCCCATGGACACAGCCTTGAGTTACAAAGAGTACAAGGTTGAATCTGTTTGGCTGAGTGCAGGTGCTGCATTCCTGGGTGTTGTTGTAGGAATGTGTTTATGTTGTGTGTGTGGGAAAGTAGAAGCTGGAGAACTTAATAAAAAGTTGCCTGCTGCTCTGAGCAGGCAGACTTCTCTTTGTCTGACCATCCTAGTGTCTTGTGTGTGTCTTTCTTCCCCTACAGACCAAGGACTCCGACAGATACCCTACAACACTTGTTCATCTAAAAAACTCAGACACCATTCAGTTTTTAAACCCCTTCAGAGACTTTGCATTGCACAGACTCACAGCACCTTCTCACAGATCCCAGTTTTGTTACAGACATAGGACAGGACACTCTCGTAATCTTGCAGCCTTACACAGTCCAGCTTACTCTCACCTGAATTGGATGAATCCGGGTTTTTATGCTTCCAACCCCTTCCACAGTAATGACAGCAGCACCATGCAGTGAACATAATGGGAGAAGGCAGGAGTTGGCAGGACGATGACTTTGATATGTGAAGGAGAACTGTGGCGTTAAATAGCTTTGTTGTATGAGTCCATGGAGGATGAAACAAAGGATATACACTCCAGCTAATCTAGAAATGTTCTGACTTCTGATGTTAGAAAGACATGGGGAGAAGGATATGCAAGTGTAAAAAATCCTGCACTTGGACCATGACAGTATGCATCCTGCTCCTAGAACTGGGACTTAGGCATTAAGTAATAGGCTCTTCTAATTAAAGAAGTGCAATGTTTAGTTAAAAGAAAAAAAAAAACCCTACATATTTTGTTAAAACCCAAAGTCTAGGGCCAGCTGTGATAGAAGTCAGGCACAGCACTTCTAATGGAACAAAGTTTCAAGAGCCAGGGAGAGACAATCCAGAACTACTAATTCTGCTGTGGGAGAAACTGTACAACCACAATGTAATAAGTCTATTGCAAAAGTCTTGGAGAGGCAGATGACAAAAGGGCTGTTGAAATCTCAAATCATAAAGAACTCAATCTAAAACATCATTTTCCCAGAAGGCTTGGGGGTTTGGTGTTGAGTTTTTGGGGGTTTTTGTTTTGTTTTTTTTTTAAAGTATTGGAAAGGATCTAAATCTCTGTTACTGTGTGATCATGAGTTCAACTCTGTAATTTCCCAGTGAATGTCAGTTTTCCCAAAACACTAAATTACTGTTTTCAAATATCAGCACCAGGATACTGTATCAGTTTGGCAACAGGATCATATGTGGATATCATCACAGTGCAGGCACCACAGCCTCCTACTCCACAGCCATATTTTGTACCTGAAAGACGGACTGCAAAGGAGATTGTTAAAGAAAAAAAATTACCATATTCAAAAGATATTTTTTCTTTATGTTCTTCTGAGTCTCCCTTGTTTTATCTGCATGTGCAGAACTGGAGGGTGCTCCCCTGTAAAAGGGATGGTTTGAGCAAATACAGCAATAGTCTTCTTATTAGCCTTACTCACAGTACTTTCCTAATCATTGCACATAATTATCTGTATCTTGTGTTTGCAAAACAGTATCAACAGATCTCAGTATGTTTCCAGTGCTGCTTCCAGAACATCCCAGGAAAACAGTGATTTTAATGGAGCAGAATACCCAAGTGCACACACCTAAACCCTGTATGGAAGGACTCCCTCCATTATGTGCCTCAGCACAAAGGCTCCACTCTCAAACCACAATCTCCTCCTGCAGTGCCCTGCAGTCCAGTGGAATCTACCACTTCCTTTCATCATTTCTCTTCACTTGCTTAACTTTAGAATCTACATGGCAGCTTCTCAGCTGGGATAACTGCCACTGAAGTCAACAGAGCCCTGACAGCAGTTAGCAACCTGAAGAGCCTCAAATAACAAAATAAAAGTAATAAGATAATAAAATAAGCTTATATAAAACTCTCTGAAGGACTGGGGCATAAATAAATTGTTTACTGCAGAAGTAGTTCAAAATTTGCAATGTTATACCCATACAACTAACACACACAATGCACATGCAGCACTGGATTGCTCTGCTGAGAACAAATGCGAGGCAAATTTTGTTATTTCTACTTTTTGTTCTGTTTACGCTGGTTCCCAAAGAAAAGTGAAACAATTTTAATCCCCAGTTGCATTAATTTACAGACTTATAGAACTCAAAGGCAAAGTTCAAAAAAAGGATATGCTTCTTTCTTAGATAATACAGCAGCAATTCTTCGGGATCTGCCTGCCTCTCTATTACCTATGTTATGAAATTAAAAAAAAAAGAGATTATAGGTTAGAGAGGAATCTAATATAACCATCTCACAAGGATTAATTATGATGTTTAAATGCAGTGATTGTGGATTACTGTGGAGCATTTGTTTAGCAACAGGATGCTGTCACTTGATCATAATCTGCAGAAGAATAAATGAGTGAGTCAGGCAATGTTGGTCAAATATGTGAAATAATTGCTTGCTCAGAGAACTGAAACGGAAGAGAGGTTAAGTAAGCACTTGGAGAGACAAGACTAGAAGGAAAAGTGCCTTTGGCCTAGATCCTTTGTTGATTCCTAACAGCATGAATCAGAAATCCCTTCGTTTTAAAGCCATGAACTTGTGCGTGTGAAAATTCTGCATAATTTTATCTCCTTGAAGTTGATATTAACCCCTTCATTTGCAGAGACCCATTAGCATAACAGCAGAGGAAAATCTTAGTGTAAGAAGAGCAAGAGGGATACATATCTAAGTATATTTTCAATCCAATTAAGTATAACGTGTATGAGTGGGCTTTTGCAGGCCTTGCTTTAGCCTTGTCTCGAGAATGTTGTTGTACCATCAGTGTGCTTGAAATTGTTGGATACAAGAAAACACAAACAACTTTGAAAAAAAATGTTAGGCTCCATTGCTGCAGAATGACCAGAGACTGAATCTCAGGCTTCTCTCAACAATTCTGCTATATCAGCAGCACGCTCCAATTTACCGTGTGTAAGACAACATGGACTAGTTCAGGAATTTATACAGAAATGCAGAGTGAAATAAGGTTTCAGAGTATGCCTTTAAGCACAGTTGGCATGTAATGACAGATAAAACATAACAGACAGAAAGAAGTTTAACTACTTTTCCTTAACTCACCTGGTCAAATTAAAGCCATTACTATCTCTCTAGAGTATAAAAGTGTTGACCAAACAACTGAAAAATATCTCTAGAAAAGCAAGGTTGGTTAGCTGGTTTGGTTTTTTTAACAAATAAATACATTTCCTTCCTTTTACTTTATATCGTATTTTGGGTGACATTTTTTGCTAACAGAACTTCTCATTCACTTGACCTGCTAAGTAAGAAAACATGAAAAAATGTCTTAGAAAATGGAATGTGAACATTTGGCATCAAGAACAGAAAAAAATTAGCTACCTCTTTTCTTTTAGTGAATTACTGAAACTATATTAGTGATCTGCATATTCTTTTACTAGAGAGGCACTTCAACTACATCAACTTTAGGAGTACATTAATAAAAGATTTTAGTAAACAGATAACTATTTTAATTCTAAAAATCTGTATTATGAGAGGTGATACAAAGTCACTCACATTCTGTAAAAACCATGGGATAAAGTAGGAAAATCAAAGACAAGAGATGATTATCCATGAATAAACTGTTGCTCCAGAATAACAGTTTCCAAACGTGAACAGAAAATATTAAAGCCATGCTGTTAAAAAAAGAAAAAGCATTTAAAAACTTACCTTCCTGCCATTCACAAAAAAGACAAGCTCATCTGATTGTTGAGGGCAAGCCATGCTGTTGCATCAAAGTCTGAAAAATAAAGCTTTATGCATCAAGAGAAATTAATGAAATGCTATATGGTCCTAAAGGTCGACTGAGTTTTCTCTGTCGTGCAGAGTTTAATTTGATGCTCAGTCTGCAAATAAGCAGGTGGGGAGGAGCCAGTGCAATGTATATTGTTTCTCAGCAATTAAACCGTGGTCAGATGCCAACGCACCACCTCCTACTCCCTACCCCAGCTCTTCCCTGGGGTAACTTGAAATAATCTGGGAAGAATCTAACCCTGTAACCTAAGAGACAACTGTGAGGGGGTACTTTTGGTTTGAGCTACAGGTGCCAGGCCTATTTATTTTATATAATGCAGTGAATTTAGAATACATAGGCATGCCTGATGCAAGAACCAAGGACAAGCAACATTATGCATTTCTGTGGGGTGTCAAATGAAAGCTGTGGAACCATGGTTCTCATTTACCTTGACCTGAACTATCTATGATTTTCTGCCTTCAGAGCAACTAAGTTTTAACAAAATCAACATTACTACTCTACACACATTTAAAATTTCCTTCTGGCTATCTCTATGCCATGCCAGCTCTATGCCCTTACTGCTGTGGGTACCATTATAAGATGACCATACTCAAGACATACCGTGTCCTTAAAGAGAGAAATCCCAAATACTGATTTGGAGTTCTAGATTCGCATCCATTTCTCCGTATGCCTGTCCAGAAAACAAGGTCATTAATCTTTAAATGCCTTATTACGGCTGGTCTTTTTCTTTTTAAAGGGGAATTATGTATATGTCTTTCAAAAGTCTCCATTTATGTATGTACATGTCTTCTGCTTCATTTACCATTTTCACATTTTCCAGCGTTTCATTTAGAGTCAGTGTAGGCTTGCAGGACAAAGTAGTCAGTCCCTGATCTTCTAACACTCTCCATCAGAAGGCAAAAAAATTATTCTCAGCAGAGATATGCTCCTGCTTTTGTGGTTTAGCCCCTGATTTATACCTGAGAGCTGCAACAACACAAGCACTGAAGCCATGTCAGTCACCAGGTCCCTGTAGGCAAAAGCCCTAATGCCAACTGCAGCATGAGTGTAGTATTCCATGTGTTGTAGGTATGACAATGCAGTTCAAAGGCCTGAGAACAGAAAGAACCAGACCAAATAGCTGATTTTGGCAGAACAATATCTATTTAGAGACTACTAGCCCTCCAAGCCAGAACCTAGTATTTATTTTAGGTGTTTAAGCTTACACCACACAGAATGGGACTGCTGAGGGTGAATAATTGTAAGAAACACTTCTCTTACGAAGTAAATTAGTAGAAAGAGTTCTTCTCAACCATCTCCAGTTTGGGTGTAACTGTGCAGTTACAGTGCACATTAATGTGTAGCCATCCAGTATGTCAGTGCCTTTGGAGCCCCAACATTTCTGCTTGTTTATCTCCCTGTATAGTCCCAGAAAATTCCTTTCATAATATCCCATGGTAGCTATAGTATCATCTGCCAGGATGGTTAATTGCTGATATTTCTAGCTTCCATGCAGTTTTTCAAACACCTAAAAGCCAGCAAACAGCTTAATACGTTTGGACCCAAAATAAACAACAACTCATATTTGCTACATGTATAGAATTTACTGAGACAACTAGACAATAGTGCCACTTGTAAAGAGGCAGGGAGGAATCTCTGTCAATAATGACTGAGAAATACGGACAAGATTTGCACTGCAGAGAACTAAGTGTGGGTCTAGAACACGATGAGTCCTCGGAGTGCAAACACCTCAGCACTGCAGGTGGGGAGATGGCATTGCCTGTGAGGATTGGGCAATGATTTTTGGAAGATTTGACTTGTCTGGAACTAATTAGCACCTGTGCTGATGCATAGGTACATAGGATAACAACAGAAAATGTAGCTTCCCCCCAGTTCAGTAGACCTATAGGCTCCCTGCTTCAGCATATCCCAGAATTTACACGTATTTTTTGGCTGTTATAGATATGTGGGGTTGTGAGCTGTCATTGACAAACCCAGGCAATGAAACTAAGAAGCTGTTTCAAATCAGAAAAACGAGTTGTGGCAGCAGCATTCACATTTAATTTGATTTATTGATCTTCTAACAATAAATAAAAGCCAAAGTAATACAAAGAAAGTGAAGAAAAAGAAGTAAAAACCAATAAGGCTTCAGCTGCCTAAATCACACTTTCAGTGCCACTTCAGATGATTTGCTATTACCTGCTTGATCTCCAGTTGCTATATCATATCTTCCAGTCCTGTGCTCTCCTATGTCTCTGCTGTCTTATGATATCTAAGGCGGTCTGGACAGCTACGTTTAAGCAGCTGCATTTCACCTACTCATAGTGGTTACAGAGAGACAAACTGAAGCAATAAAGATTTCATATCTTAACAGCCAATACAAAAGCTGTTTTAAGCTACTGACCTGATTTCTGTCACAGATACAGCATCAACTTGTAAAAGGGACAGAGGGCAAGAAGAGAAAATTGTGGAAAACTGAGAGGCAGTGAAATAATAAGAGCCTACATGCTGACATGTCAAACAAATTAAAGCCATTTACTTCCAGTAGGAATGGCAGTTGTCATAGTGCTGGAGCAATGTGACCTGTGAGTAAGTGGAAGAGCAATCTGATGCTTAGCAAGGAATAACTGATGCAGAGGTTCACTGAAACCACACAGTGAACATCTAAACTACTGATTCTCCCACTTCTGCTTTATTGTTAAAGA